CTTCTTGGCGGAGGTCCAGTCAATGGTTGGAATACGTCCGCGTATTCATTTACCACTGGTATCTCCTCAAGGCTCTTAGGTGCTCCTTCTCCTACCATAGAGACTGTCGCCAAGAAGGCTTCACATCCTTCCTCTATAAGATTCTCGGCATGAATCATCGAAATGACTGGCACTCCTGTGTCGGTCTTTACTCCTTGAAAGACAACCCGACCTCCTCGATGCGGAATGTAGGCCCTTGACTTCCGGCAATTCAGGACAACTTCATAATGCTTCAGCCAGTCCATTCCAAAGATGACATCATAGTGGCCCAACTTCATTTCCACTAGAGTCCAAGGAAAATCTGCTCCTTCCAACAAGATAGGCACTTCTTCATGGATTCCAATGGTCTCTACCTGCTCACTTCCAGCAGTTTCCACTTCTTTCAACCTGGGGGTGAACTTTCCGGAGAAGGTCCAACATTGGGTCAACCTCGGGCCACAAAACTATGTGTGGCACCGGTGTCGACGGTGTATATGCAATCGCGCCCCCTACTGAGACCGATCCTACATGATTACTTATATCTAGTCATGCATTTCCATTCTACATTCCTATTCACAAGCAAAAATATAGAATCTCACAGAACATTACTAACCAGCGATCGGTGCTGCTCCTTCGGGATCTCTGGCGAAACACGGGGTTCCACAGCTTGCCTCTTAGCTGGTGGTCCTGGCAATGCTCCCACTCTTTGCTGAGGATTAGCATTCCCCGGACAATCCCTCCTTTGATGGCCACTCTTTCCACAACGATAGCACCGGTTAGTCCCCACGACTGCGCAATCCCTCTCATGGTGGCCAACACTACCACAGCCAAAACATTTGTGGGCGCCACACCTTCCTGGGTGCCTCCTTCCACACTTCTGGCACATGGGCAGTCCAATCCCTGGAGTTGCCATAGTGTCCCAAGTCCTCTTCGGCCTTTCTTGAGCACGGTTTGGACGAGACGAGCCCTGCCTAACTCTCCTCAGCTCCTCAAGCGAGGTCTCTTGGATGACAGCTGTCTCCACAAGCTCCACCAAGGTGTCATATCTCCTAAGAGAACACCTGCTCCTCAGCTCCAACTTCAGGCCCTTCATGAACTGACGAACCAAATCTGCCTGCGTGAACTGCTTCCTGGAGAACCTCCTCAACCGGTTGAACTTCTCCTTGTACTCTCTCACAGTACGGTGCGCTTGACGCAGGTCCTCAAAGGCACTCTCCATCTGATCTAAAGCTTCAGGTGGGAAATACTCTTTAGCAAAAGCTTCCTGAAATTCCCGGTAGGTCAACTCATAACGACCTTGAGTCGATTCGACCACACCGTCCCACCATATCAGCGCCTCTTCCTTCAGGTACTGAACAGCTATATCCTTCCGGTATCCCTCCGGACATCTCATGGCTTCAAAATTCTTCTCCAACCTCTTCCTCCAGTTATCCGCAGACACTGGGTCAGACCTCCCGCCAAAGGCTTCCATTCCCATATCCTTCAAATTTTTCATGGCCTGATAATAAGTCAGTCCAAACACATTGACAGGCACAGGAGGCGGTGGAGTCTATACTGCTGCTAAACATACACTGGCAGCACTACCACAGGCGGCGGCTCAAACACTGGCGGCTGCACATTCTGCTGCTCCTGATGCTGCGGCTGCTGCTGCTCCTGATGAGCATTCACTCCCACTCCAGGGTTCAAGTGGCCATACATCTCTCGATAACGGCGCAACTCCTTCAGGACTGCAGCATGAGCTACTTCTGCTGCTGGAGGCACTTGAACAGGCACACCTCCCGCAAGGTTCTCTCCCTGCTGATCCACTGGAGCTGGAGGCACTGGGGCAACACTTCCTGATGTGCTCGAGGCCTCGTCAGCACCATCTAAACGACGAGCTTGGGATCTGGTGCACACATTCTTTGCCCTCGGAGGCATCTGACAAGACATGGAGACAGATAAGTTAGTCTGGTCACGTAAAGACTAACTTCCTGCAAAAGAAAAGAACAACAAAACTAGAGAGGCTAGTCTAGGTGGTGTTTTCTTTTTTTGAAAACATTTGAAAAATCCTTGAACTTTGAAAACTTGAAAACTTTTAAAAACTTTTTAAACCATTTTTTTTGAAATCCGAATCCCATTCCCACTATTCTAGACTTAGCTCTCTTAACACCTAGTTCGAACCATTCTCTGATACCAAATTGTAACACCCCGATTCCTGGTTCCGAAGGAAACCAGAATAAACCGGGATATTAACTATCTTAAACTAAACCAATTCCAAATAACTTGTTGTTCTTTATTCAAATCCAAACCTAAATCCAAGTCTTACAAAGAGATGAAATAACTGATTAAATCCGAAATAAAATAGAACCATTGTCTTAAAAAGAAAGGTGAAATAGTTCTTAAAAACAATAAAACTTCCTCCATTTAATGAAGGCACACCACACTAGAATTACTCGTCTAGTTCTTCCCAGACATCAGCACAATCACACTCACAATCACAATCACCTGCATATCGAAATTTAGAGAGAGAGGGGTGAGTAATTTGGGAGAATTACTCAGTGAGAACCAAACCAGGCTCCCGCCTTATTCATTTATATCCACCAACATATTAAGAATAAATCTAATGAAACCAAACAAGCACTCTACAAGTGCACAAGCAACTAACAAGCAGTGATGTCTCCGATCCCGCCTCTCAATAGGCCAAACCACCTTGTCACTCGGACACAGGTCGACATCTCATCCTGTCACACAGACAGACGCCCTGTCACACAGACAGAGACCCTGTCACACAGACAGTCCAATCCCGGCATGCCACATGGACAGTCCCGTGGGTCATCACTCCACCGGATGAATGGATTATTGACACGGTCACACAGACAGCACATAACCCAGCAAACAAGCCTGCATTCGGCACATCACTATACCAGAAACAGACTATGACCTTTAGGACTTCTACCAATCACTAACCAATCAACAGGGTTGTCAATCAATCATGCTGGTTCTTCCTCTAATGAGATTCTAGATCTTATTAGTTTTATATATATATATATGGATCTGCCTAAATGCACAAGAAGACAGACCTGTCCCACCAGATCTAGACTCAACACACCAGAAGAAGATAAAGTGATAAGAAAAAAAGACCTAGATCTAATCCTCACCTTGGCCTAAAAGCAGAGCTGAGATTAAGGAGAACTAGAAGAGGCAACAGAATCAAGCAACTTCTGAGAAAGTGGAGGCAGGCGAGTGCTCCTTCTTCTCTCGGCAAGCGGCGGCGGCACCCTTCTCTGGCGGCGGCGCGGCTTCTCCTCCTCGGCGGCGGCGGCGAGCAGCTTCTCCTTCTCTCTCTCACTTTTTTTTCTTTGGGGGCTAGGGTAATTAGAGGCAAAATGAGGTTCATTAACTCCTAATTCCCTATTTATATTAGGGTTTTTGAAGTGGACCTGAATTTGCTGGGCCTCCTTTAATTGGGTTGGGTTTGGGATGTTACACTAACAGCGTCGAAGTCTTGGATGTCCACGAAGAAGCATCTGTCCTTATGAAATTGTTTACCGTTGTTTGTAGTAAAATTTATGGAGATGGATTCGTGGCCCCTTACCATATTCCACCTCAAAAAAAAAATAATAATAAAAAAATAGACTAGTAGTTTGGATATCACTGTCGTTTGTCATTGGACAGAGTTCTCTTTATTGTTTTGATTTTAGCAAACTACCCTTGCCAAATTGAAATCAAAGTTTAACTATTTTAAAAAAATTCTTAATACTCTTATGTTTTTTCGTACTTCTTGATTAGTCTTAGTGGTAGTATCTCATTTAACTTGAAGGGGGTCTACAAATGTTTTAGCTAGCATATAATGTCAATGGAACATTGTGATTTGAACACGATAATGTGACTTTTTAAGATCAAGATATCAAGCGACAACAACTCCACACGTCTTCTCTTTAGGTTTAGTGATATATAAACACTGTCTTGGAAACGAGTGTATTTAACAGTTTCTTTGGCACATGGGTACTTCCATTTTCTTTTGTGCTTGAGTTAAAAACCAAATGAAAGACATTAATTATGGTTTAAATTTGGATCAGAAAATATTATAGTTGTTTATTTAGCTTTAAAAGAATGAAATAGAAAAGGTAAGTTAATAGAATAATATAGGGCAATAATATATGGTATAGAACTGAATAATCTCCGTAGATTTTGAATCCCCAAAAAAAAAGTGAATAGAAATGAAAATGTGCGTACATAAGCAACGTGAGAAATTTTGTTTTTTCTAAATTTAAATAAGTAACAAAATTCACAAAAATCTAAATGGTTTCGACTAAACCACATCACATATATATACCAAACATGCGATGAATAAATACAAAAATATTATTGGCTAAATCTGCGACAAAGCACGAGTAATGAAAACGCGAAATGTTACAAGTTGGTTAGCTTTTTCTTAAAACATTCCTTCACGCCTTGTTTTAAAAAAAAAAACAAATTAAACAAAATTAATAAATGTAAAATTTTCAGTTGCGGACCAATTGAATTCATCTACTCATTGAATCGGACTTCCTATAGGTAGTTGTGACATGCTTCAGTTGAATCCATCTCGATTGCGTTATTCGATTTCATTATAAATTACCTTTGGAAGTCAATGTTCTGAATTTTCATTGAAAGTCAATTAGATTCTAAAGATGAATATGACAAATCTATGAATTGCTAAAAAGCATATCTAGGCAAACAACTTGTAATGTTACAATCTTAAATTTTTTATGTATCAATGATCAAAGAAAAAATTGACCAGAATTTTATCTTGTTTATTTCTTTTTGAACAAGTTATCGCTTTTGAAAGATAAGGAAAATAGGGCTTGTACACCCACATGACTCTGTCTTTCATAACATGAACCGAGATTTTCATAAATTTCATGTTTGACCCAACCTGACATAACTCTGTCTTTCATAAATACAGAGGAATTTGACTTCCTCATGAACATTCTTCTTATTCTTCTCATCATATTTCCTCTCCTCTGCAATGGCCGGCCTCTCTTCTCTCTTTCTTCTCTCCTGCACAAACTCTGTTCTTCAAAAACCTATTTCATATCCAGTTCCAATCTCAAATCCAAGATGAGTCTTAAATGCACAACTAATGACAAAGATCAAGAGCTATTTTTCACTTCTTTTGTTGATGGAGTCTTTCAAAAGCTTTTTTTTCCATAAAGGCACACTAATTTCATTAGTTACAATCAGTACTTAAATAATCGCTAGGCAGTAAGCGGGCAGACAGGCACCGACTAGCATTTAGATCAAAAATCGGTGATTGATCAATGATTAATCGATATTTTTTTCATTAAATAATATTATTTTAAAATTTTAATTGCTTTAATTATGATTTTTATTTGATTTTGGAGCTTGAACTCATTATAAATTAACTTTTGGAAGTCACCCTTATGAATTTAATTTGAAAGTCAATTCAAAAGATGAATGTGAACAATCTATGACTTGCTAAAAAAACATCTAGGCAAACAACTTATAATGTTACAATCTTAAATTCTTTATGTATCAATGACTATAACTCTGTCTTCTATGAATACAGAACATTCTTCTTATTCTCTCATCATCTTTCTTCTCCTCTACCATGGCTTCTCTTCTCTCATTCTTCTCTCCTCCACAAATTATGCTCTTAAAAAAATCATTTCTATATCCACTTTCAAACTCAATCTCAAATCTAGTTTCTTAAATGCAAAGCAAATGACAAGGATGAAGAGCTGTTCTTCACTTCTTTTGTTGATGGGGCCAGATAGCTGGAGATTTTTCACCGCACACTGATTACATAAGTTATAATCAGTGGAGCCAGTTAGCTGGAGATTTTTTTAGAGAGATATCTCTTGAATGGGAGTTGGGTCAAGAGATATCTTTCAGGCTCAAACTAAAATTTGAAAGACTATAAGACAAAAACTGACTGCAAAAAAATTGAGCATGAGATGTTTTCATCACATGCAATCCTAAAACTCTCACGCTTATTTGGAAATATAGCATCCACATCCATATCATCAGCAAGTTTTAACTGTATTCATACAAAAGCTAAATCAACCATTTCTGTATTTTTGAAAAAAAAATATATATCATACTTTCTACTTGTTTGATAGCATTATCAATACAAATGAATTTAGCTTGTAATTTTGTATGGTATAGAATATCAATTTTTTTATCTGAAGTATAGAATATCATGTCAGATAAACATACCAAGTAAAAACTCAAAATTCTCAAGTGCATCAACCAAACTTTCATTTTTACTCTTAGATATAGCATTATCACACAAAATATACAATTTTATTGTGGCTGCTTGATACCTTATAGTCTTAATTTTTTTTTTTTTTTTGAGTTTTCCATCTAGTATTAAATAGATTTTTTATCGTAAAACATGAAACATGTTTCAGTAAAATATTCTATTTTTGGTAGAGCTTGAAAATAAGGTGTATATACGTTATACAATTCCAAAAAATACAGCTTTCACACAGAAATGAGCCATACCACTAACAACAAAATTCAGACTATGATAAGCACATAAGCACATGGCATGAATAATGCTTTTCAAATTAATTTCAACTAATTGTTTTTGAACTCTTGGGTGTTTTTCATTCATAGTAGAACCATTATCATAACATGGTCTCCTCATGTTCTCAATATAAAGATCAAGAGACTTAAGAACATTTTGTTAATTCATTAAAGAGACCTAGACCTGATGTATCGTCAGTTATTATAAACTCTAAACTATTTTTCTATTCTTATCCTTTTACTTGATATATTCATGCATTGTATGATTATACTCATTTGCTCTTGATGACTCATATCTGGTGTATATTCAAGGATAATAGAAAAATATTTTGCCTCTTTAATAACACTTGTGATATAAAACTTAACCTTATGAGAGAAGACAAAACAGCTCATTCTGAATGTTATGCCCAAGATAGTGTGATAATGTATCTCATGAGTTTGGATGTGTCTAATATGATCCTGCAGAATCACACCAAATTCAGAAATCATCTCAATTATTCCTAAAAAATTACTGTTACTATTTTTATAGAGTTACTGACTTGATCCTCAGAATGCCAAGTTTCTTTTCGAAAACATTTCACAATTGCAATTATTCTATATAAATCTTGTATCCAACGTGCTTTTTCTTTTGCAATCTCTTGGTGGAATTCTTTGTCAATAGTTAGATTTACTTTGAATTCTAACTTCCAACCCATTCCAAGTCTTCATGTTAGCCATATGCTCGTCACTTCTCTCATGATTTTTAACTCTATTACTAATATAGTTCTAATCTTTCAATCCTTCGTTTGCAATCCTTCGTTTGCTAACGAACTTGAGATACCATGAGATTTAAACAATTTACAGCAAAAACATTACACTTTATCCACATGCTTTAAGTAAACCAACCACTTTCTATCATAAATCTTCTCATTACACAACTTTGTAGGATAATGCCTATATGCAACCTAAAAAAATAAATCATCAAACACATAACATTAGCACTACTAATAAAGTTTTCATAGACATGACATAAAGAAAAAGAAAAGATAAACAAGAATTACCTCTTCCTGTTCATTTGTCAGCATCACTTCATCCCCTTGTACAAGAGACTCACACCATGACGCACATAGGAAGAGGAAGAATCACACCTCTATGAGCTAGAGTGCTCCACTTCTTCTCGTGCCCATCTCCAACACAATCAAGCTTGGAGAATAGCACCTTGAGAAGCTTTTCTTGGGTTGAAAGTCTTCCTTGGATCTGCTCCTTCTTGATTTGTTTGATCTTGAAGTAGATCACTCCCTTGAAGACCTCTTCAGCCAGAAGATAGATAAACTCCTTCTCCAAAACAGTTATCTTCCTTTTTTCAGTTGGAGTTGTGATTTCATAAAAGTAGCTTTCTTTATTTTCTCCTCCACTTGACCTAAGATGCCACTCAAGAGACATCTTTTTCAAAAAACTTCTAGCTAGGCTTATAGGTACAAACTCTAAACAAGAAAGAAAACAAAATTGATTGTGCAAAGATTGGTCATCACATGCATACCTAAAGCTCTAACGCTTATTTGGAAATATATCACCCACATCCATATCATCAACAAGTTTTTTTAACTATATTCATACTATGGTATCAATCATTTCTGTATTTCTGAAAAAATAAAATAAAGATATTACACCTTCTACTTGTTTGATAACATTATCAATACAAATTGATTTAGCTTGTAATTTCTTATGGTATAGAGTGTATGCCAAATAATCATACCAAGTAAAAACTCAAAATTTTCAAGTGCATCAACCAAACTTTCATTTTGATTCTTAGATATAGCATCATCACACAAAGTATACAATTCTAGTAAAGCTGATCTTATATGTGGCTGTTTGATACCTTAGTCTTAACATATTTTTTTTTTTGAACTTTCCAACTAGACGGATTTTTATCGTAAAACATGAAATATGGTTTAAGTAAAATATTCCATTTTTTGGTAGAGCTTGAAAATAAAGTGTATGTGCGTTACACAATTCCCAAAGAAATACAGCTTTCACATGATAATGAATCATGTCACTAACAACAAGATTCTAATTATGACAAACACATGGCATGAACAATGCTTTCGAATTAATTTCAACTAATCGTTTTTGAACTCCTTGGTGTTTTTCCTTTATATTAGAACCATTATCATAACAATGTCCCTTCACATTCTCAATATTAAGATCAAGAGACTTAAGAGCATTTTGTAATTCATTAAAGAGACCTAGACCCGATGTATCATCAACTATTATAAACTCTATGAAATATTCTTATATTCTTATCTTTTTACTTGACATATCTACGCATCGTATGATTATACTCATTTGCTCTTGATGACTCACATTTGGTGTGTAATCAAGGATAAGATAAAAATATTTTGCCTCTTTGATAACACTTGTGATAGAAAGCCTAACCTTATGAGTGAGAAGAGAAATCAGCTCATCCTAAATGTTATGCCCAAGATAGTGATAATGTATCTCATAAGTTTGGATGCATATAATATGGCCCTGCATAATCACATCAAATTCAGCAATCATCTCAATCATTCCTAAATAACTACTGTTACAATCTTCATAGAGCTTCTGACTTGATCCTCAAAAGACTAAGTTTCTTTTCGAAAGACATTTCACAATTGCAATTATTTTATATAAAAATTGTCTCCAACGTTCTTTTTCTTTTGCAATATCTTGCTGGAATTCTTTGTCAATAGTTAGATTACTTTGATTCTAACTTTCAACTCATTCCAAGTTCTCATGTTAGCCATATGCTCCTCACTTCTCTCATGATTTTTTAGTCTATCACTATTAATTATGGTTCTATCACTAATATGGTTAATCTTTCAATCTCTCATGTTAGCCATATGGTCCTCAATTCGTTTGCTAACGATCTTGAGATACCATGAGATTTAAACAATTTACAGCAAAAACAATACACTTTATCCACATGCTTTGAGTAAACCAACCACTTTCTATCATGAATCTCCCCATTACACCACTTTCTAGAATAATGCCTATATGCAAAATGCCTTTTAGTTTTATCGTCAATAAGAAACGCAAGATCCATTTCTCTTTGTGGTCCTTTTTCAATCAATAAATAATTTGTTTTATTGTCAGGATTATTCCAATTCCTAGGATCATAAATATCAAAAAGAGGAATATTAGGATGATAATCAAGACCAAAAGATATTATTATTTTATTATAGTTCTTATCATCATATCTTGTTTCTCACCATGATCAGCTGTCATACATGATGATAATCCATGAAGGTGTGTGTCGTGGATCAATAATCTTGAAACTTTACATATAATATAATCATAAGATCAAGATGCAAAAGTTGTATCTACAGAAAGGCCAAGCAACATCAAAAAGGATAAAAACCCCTTCACAAAAAAGCTCAATAAAAAATAAATGAGTTCAACGATTAAGAAATGAAACAAAGAAAAAAAGCATAACTGATAGAACAACTTTCAACAGTACATTAATGTCTTGTTTTTTTTTTGTTTGTTTCAGGTATCTTCAACCTGAGAATGGAACACAAAGCTCGGAAACGTAGTCGTAATGTCCCTGCAAGCACGCACACAACAAGATCACGACCTTTAATTTGCATATCATCGAGATGAAGAAAGATAAGAAGAAAAAAGAAACCAGAGAAGCAATTCTGTTGTATAGATTCAATTCCAGTTACGTAAACAGAAAGACTTGGAACTCACTTGAGATACTGAAGAGTCATGTTCTTAAGAAGGCTGGGATGTCTAAGAACAAGGCTTCTCCACTCTTCTTTATCGATCTTTCCATCGTGTTTCGTGTCTGCTTCCTCAAACGTCTGAACAATCAAAACTCGGGAAATTTACTTTCATAGCAAATATCTGGTCGAAGAAGAGAAAGTAACTAACGTACCTTGTCAATTATATCCTCTATGACAGTATCCTTCAAATTCATTCCGGATTCAGCAAGCGTAGCCACAACCATTTGTTTCACCTGAACAAAATGATCGACGAAAATGTCAGTGAGGATGATAAAGTGCAGTTTTACAGGTTGATTTATGGAGAAGCTATTTGAAGATATGGAAGCTTTACCTCTTGACGTTCGATGAACCCTTGCTGTTTAAGATCATATAGCTGAAATGAAACTGTAAAAACAATATATATATACCATGAATTTTGACACCAAATTAATGAGGACTTCTTTATCCCAAGTCATTAGGGACGTACAGTGGATTTTGTCATCTACAGGCGCATTTGGGTGAAAGACAGAGAGAGCACGAGCAAACTCCTCAAACCCCAGTATTCCATTGTGTTTTGTATCAAACAAATCGAAAACCTGAAACCAAATCACATATCTCAGCATTACTTTTTCCAACACTTGATCTTTGACAAAATGAGGTTTTTTGGAAAGAAACATCACCCGATCAGCAAACAAGCTCTCTTTTTTATTTGTCTTAAACAAAGCCAACTGAAACTCTTCCTGGTACAAAGTTAACAAGAGATGAGTAATCTTGACAAGATTGTGTCAACAAGCGACAGATGAGCCAAAAAGATTACACAAGCTTTACCTTGTTTATTAGCCCATCATCAATCACGGCACTGCTGATTTTCTTAAACAGCTCATAAAGAGCTTCTATTTCACTCACACTAACTGCACCCCAAAAACAAATTCAGTCATCATAATGAATTTTTGTTCCACTAATAGTGTTCCTTAGAATCTTATACCCGAATTTAAAAAAAAAAAACAAAACACAAGATTAGAGAAGCTGAGTAGCATACAAACAGTGTCTCTCGCAAGCAACTCAGGGTCTCCAAGTCCTCCGGATTGTTTATATAAATCGAGATCAAAACACCCTAAAACAGAGGTGCATAAATGCTTGAAACCGTCTACGCACTGCGACATGATATCTTAAGCAAATCAAAACTCTCCATGCCTATTAAACAAACAACACAATACACTGAGAAACTTTTCTAACTAAAAAAAAAAACTCTATATGAACAAATAAAAACTCACCTTTTCACCATTTCCTAATTCCGTCTGAGAAAACCCGTGGCGCTCTGCGATTATCTGTAATGTAAAGGGGATGAGATGAAATCACTTAAATCTTTTGGCTCATAAGATTTTATGTAACACAGCTTGGAAAGTTAAGGTAGGATCAGTACAAGGATTCATAATGTTATAATCTCAAGTCAATAAAGGCAACACATTGCTTACAAACTAGAAAACTCAAGTCATTGTCATTATTACCAGATGATTACTAATGTCCACACATAAACAGAAACTGACGCATATCCTTGACAAAATACTTAAAGATAAGAAATTTAATGGCTAATTCCCACTCAAGCATTAACCCCCAAAAAAATATCATTCTTTCTTTTCCTTAAACATCACAATTATGGAACAGGCTTAGAGTTAAACTAATGCTCCCGACAAAAATACGATAATAGTAATAATCATCGTCGGAACTGGAAAACCCAATTGCGATTGCGTGTAAGAGATTCATAATGAAAATCGGATTTGAACAATCGAAACAGCATGTCGTAATAAGCTAATATCGATCCAGCGAATGCGATAAAAACGATCTAGATCATAAATTACGTTATGTAACTCAGAATCAGTAGATGAATTGAATTGGTTTCGCGAATAGAAATTTTACCGATTCTTCGTTTGCTTTGAATCTTAAATCTCAAGGCGACTTTTGGCGGTTGAAGCTGGAGATTGGCAAGGTGAGAGAAAGGCGGAGACGATTCCGTAAAGCTGAGAGTTGAAGAACAAATCAAAACCTGGAAAAATCTTTTAAATATATATATAATAAATAAATACAACAAAAAATAATAAACATAATCCCAAATTAATTAATCTCTTTTGTTTATTTAAATCACTTATGTTGATACACTTGTTAAGCCGCGAAGAAGTGTTTAAAGAAGAAGCTATGTCACACGTCGAGTTTGTGGAGCCTGTGTCAAATAATGCGCTGTATAATACGACGTCGTTTATCGGAGAGTAAAACTTGCTCTATACGGCAACGTTTAGCTTTTGGTTTGGTTCGATTGGTTTTTATTTCGGTTAATTAATTAGAATGGAAATCACTTCACTAACATAAGTTGTTCTTTTTTCTCCAATGAAATGTACGGTTTTAAACTTTGATTTCTTTCTTTCTTGATACACGGTGGTGGAGTTTAAACTGAGATTAAATTTAAACCAAATGAATCGAACGACATAAATTTTACGAGTGAGTGTGTTCTTGTTGGGTTATTTAAATCATTCTTTAACTTTTGCTATGATTTTTATTTTAAATGAATGTAAAATTTTATTCAATCAAAACGTTTTTAGCGCATGTTTTAAGAAATAGAATCTAATGTATGCTAGTATCAAATCAGAAGTTGAGACCGTTCTCAGGATTTATAATCTTGATCTCCATAAAGTCGGATAGTGCTTAATCGGTTTCAAACAGTTTTGTCGATGCATTTTTGCATTGATTTCATTTAATGCAAATAAAATGTTTTGAAAAAAAATATTTGTATTTCATTTTTCAGGTAGTGTGATAGCACAATTGTAATTTTAGTTGATAATGCGTAATAAAATGTGCAAGTAATCAATGCTCAAATATAAATTTAACCGGTGAAACCTTGAATCGTTTTAAATACCGATTTCAACCAGTCTTTGTACACATTATTGAACAATGTCAATAGAAAATATACAATAAAAAAAAAACAGAAAATTATTATACCGAACACATACTATAAAATTCGGTTTACTGAGCCTTGAGGGTGTCACTAAACCGGCTCGACTTGGATGACAATAGCACAGCTAGGTTCGATCCAATAGACCCTGCACGTGTCAAAGATTCGACGCGGTGGTGCCTGCACCTGAAAGAACCAGCGTGTGTCGTCGGAGAACATAAGCAATTTTGCCTCCCCAGTTTAGCGGAGCCGGAGGACGAGCCCCAACGGCGTAAACTCGGTGAGTTTTGGTCTTGGCTCTGTTTCTTGATCGGTTCAACGGCGGAGCCACTGGGAGGTTTGGATTTGATCATGGCTAAACTTATGGAATACTTCTTCTCCGCCGTAGATTCTCCCAGAATTAGGGTTGAAGGGTTTTCTTTCACCATGGTTTTTATGAAAATATAGAATATTGGTTTGTGTTGTTGTTGTTGTTGATAATTGGGAATGAAGTTAGTGGTAATATATGGTGACTTGTGAGAGAAGCCATCTAAAAATAGTCATACAAGGTTGTTGACAAACTGCTTTTTTTTTAAGATTCTGGTGGTTAGTATTCTAGAAAGAAAAAGCAGAAGAATAATTGGGGGAAAATATTTGACTTGGTGGTTATATTCTTCTTTTTATGGTTACACACTTCCAATTTTGTGCATGGATAATATTATGTATCTTCAATTAATTGGGAAAAACTATGAATAAACCAAATTTTGATTAGTCAAAATATATTTGAAAAAAAAATTGTCTAAGTGCCAAACTGAAAATCCAGAACTGTCTAATTCAAAAAATCTTGTAACTTAAAAAAAAAAAAAAATCCAAAACATTTGACTTTTTTTGGATTTGTACCTATTTTTAGCATGGGGGCGACCTTAGAATCCAAACCCAAATTAAAACACCTCAGATTGTTGAAGTCAAGTAGTTGACCAAAAAAAAGATTGTTGAAGACTTGAAGTCAAAATCATCTCAAATTATTTAGATGCCTTGTCCAAACTTTATACCAGACATGAAAATCAGGTATCTTAATTTAGGTACATAACTAAAACTTAGTGTAGTTACAGGGTTTACTAGCTCATGTTATTGGAGGCATATAAATTGAAAATTAATATTAAGGCCAAGAAGAGAAAGAAGCATGTGAAATAGAAACACTACATAAAGATATATTCTATAAATGTTGTAGCATTGTGATTTGTATCTCCTCACAATGTACTTTACGATTACTGGTGAGCTCTCTGTACAAAATTTTGGACACTCACACAAGTAACCAACTTGCTTCAAATCAAAACAAAAAAAAATGAAAAAAAAAGAAACATTTGAGAGAAGAAACAAAAAAAAAAGGTATCGAACTTAATTAGAGATTTTGACTCATAATCTTTTGTCTTCTTTTAGGGTTTATATTTTTTTTTCATCTTGGAAGATCTTGTTTGCAGAGAGGACAACAAGAGATGATTCGAAGCCATTGATCTACACACTTGAGGTGAAACTTGTGTGAACATGGAAGCTTCCTTACTTCTTCTTTGTCTTTATATTTTGTCAAACATATACAACACTCCTGCAAAATCAAAATCAAAAATCAAAATCTAGTCCTTTTTCAATGAATTAGACTAATACACAACATTCAGATTCCCCCGAGTGCATCAAACAGATTAAACCTGTTCAATTTTAACATGATTGGATATCTAATTGATTAACCAAAATATGCAGATAGTAATAAACCGAGACTAGGCTAACCTGTGACACCTATTATGATAGTGATATCAAGATTCCAGTCTTAAAAGGCGGAATTTCATTCAAACCAAGATCTACTGTCCTAAGAAACCTTTTAGGTTTGGATTGATTAGTGAGTCAAAAAGATTAGGACTTACTGGATCATCGGTTGCAGGAGCTGAATCAGACTCAGAATCAGAAGCTTTGTCGTTGATTCGTTTATATTTCCAGCTAGGAAGACTAGAGATTTGGTCATCTGATGCTCCTCTGTCTGAAGATCCCATGTTCATGTTGTATCCAAGGAGACTACTGATGAGAGGGACAAGGCAACAGAGGAACAAGAAGAGGAGAAATGGAAAAGAATAACAGAGAGCGTTCCACGCTAGAAGAGAGACGCAGAGGATGTGAAGCTTAGGTGCATGGTGGAAAGAACCGAATCTAGAATCGAACACCCAAACATTCCCAATCACAAACCAAATAGCAAAGAAAAGCTCTAGCGATGTTCTGCATTTGTTCATCAAACGAGAGCTCCTGAAATCACAACATTTTAAATATCAATACAACTTCAGGATCTTGCAAAAGTTTTGGATTCAGAATAGACAAAGATTAGATTTTGGGAGGTAACCTGTTTTCTTCTCTGCCTCTCTGTTGCTGCTCAATATCGCCGAGAACAAACCCATTTCCTTGTTGAACGTCTAGTTGACGATATCGACCATATAACAACATAAGACTAAGGAGACAACCCACATCATAGCCTGTAATCCATAGCCTTACTGGCCAAATTGGTCTTTCTTCTTTGGAGATAGCTAGTGTGAGTGTTATCACAGTGAGCTGAACAAGCAGAGCAATGAGCTCAGACATCATCCAAGTGCTAGAATTGAAAGGATTAGATCCAAGATCAGATCTTGATCCGTTCTGGTAATGAAACACTCTTCTCAAGAAGATGAACCATCTAGCTCTAGATACCCTCATAGCTAATCTTATGTAGAACGAAGATGGAGCCCTCTCTTGAGCATCACTAGCAGCTACAACCACATGACCTCGAGGTGTGGTATTCAACGAAGAAGATGATGAAATAGTGATCGAGATGTTATCAGAAGATGTTTCATAACGAGGATTCATTGGAAACTTTTCCAAGCTTTTCAAGATTTAGACCTTCAAAAGGAATTCAAAAAAAAAAAAAAAATCAAGTCCCAGATAGTTTATAAGTTGTGAGCACGGAACTTCAAGTATATAAGCAAAACGATCATGAAACACACACAACAGGATTAGAAACTAAAAAAAAGTCACGAAATTTTCATGTCTCAACAATATGAAAAACACATGAAAAATTCACAAGGAATATATTCAGATACCTTATCTGCAACCATCAAAAAGGCAAACTAAGCTCCGTACACGAACTCCACGATTTCACACAAAAACAAAAAAAGATTCTGTTTTTACAGACGAAAGCTTAATTTCAAATCGAAACTAAACCCAGGAACGAAGGAAAAAGTAACAATTTTTTAAAAGGGTTTTTGTGTGAAATGAACAAAAAAAATATTTAAGAGGGAGATCACGTTTATAGAGTAGATATAGAAACGAGAGAAGAAGATGATCACGAAGAAGAAAAGGAAGGTGTTGCGATTATGTCAGAGAAGGTGAAGTTGGGCGAGAGATGGCGACCAAGAATCAAACCATTTTGATTATATTTATAAAGAAAGGATTTGTTTTTTTGTTTTTGATTTGGTTTGAAGAATCAAACGCAGAGAGAGGAAGAAGAAGAGAGAAGATAAACCGTTGGCCTAATCTTCTAACACACCTGAGATTTTGTTTATGAAGCAATGTTCAGATAGCAACTGCTGCTTCCAACCGCCAAAGCAGACTCGTCTCTCTCTCTTCTTTGTTTCTCTCTCTCTCTAGAATTGTGAGCCAAGGGAGAGATATTTTATTTTTTTGTATTTTTTTTATTATTATATTGTTTTCTTTTTTAAAAGAATGGATAAGAAGAACATCTTGATGAAGTCATCAATTCACCTTGTTTGTTATAACAGAAAAATCTTCTTCTTTTTTTCTGACAGCGTTGATAACCTCCCACTATAGTAGTAATATAGAAAATCCATAAGAAACTTTTTTTTTTTTTTTTTTGTCTGCGCCCATAACTTAACTTTTTACTTTTTAGGCTTGTAACAGTATGGCTAGGATTTAATCCAATGAATTTACTACATATTGTATGTGATATTAAACAAGAATTATTTAGCTAATATTATATTTCTTACTAAAAAGAGATATTTTGATTTTAATATTACACGACTATTAATTCGTTTCATGGCTTTTCATAAGTTTGGGCGTTCGGATATCCATTCGGATTCGGTTCGGATAATTTGGTTTTTAGGATTTTCGGTTTTTAGATTGAAAATCCATTCGGATATTTTTGGAATTTCGGTTCGAGTTCGGTTATATTCGATCGGATTCGGTTCGGGTTCAGATATCCAAAAAATAATAAAATTAAATAAAAATAATTAAATTTAAATAAAATTAGTTAAATTCAAATAAAATTTGGCAAAATTTTAAAAATATAACTAAAAACTTAGTATGTTTAAATTATTTTGGATTTTTCATCATTTTCAGAATAAAAATAATTCATATTTTGGATTTATAATTGTAATTTTAGGTTATTAAATCTAATTGTAGTTAGTATTTTGGGTATATAATTGTATTTCGGATATTTCGGATATCCATTCGGATTTTCGGTTCGGTTTGGTTCGGTTTCGGTTTTTCGGATTTAAAAATTTAAAAACCGTTCGGATATTTTATCAGTTTCGATTCGGATTCGGTTTCTCTTTTTCGGGTCGGATTCGGATAACTTATTCGGGTTCGGATAATGTGCCCAGACCTAGAGGATATTGACTATTGAGTACTGCTTCTAGATTCTTTTTTTTTTCTTTTTGTTGGCAAGAATGCATGTATCACTAAAGGCATGGTCGAAAGCATATAAAACGTATGTATCGAAAATCCAAAATTTTGTTGTTGCAAAAACAAAGTGTTTTGGTAATATCTTTATATACACACACACATTCTTTTGGAAATTAGTTAAATAAATAATGTGTAAATTATAATTTTGACAAAGAAAATTTAATAAAGTGGCGGGAGGAAATGGAAAGAGTGGGGATGGTTGGCTAGCTAATCACAACCAGAAGAGTTTCTATCATCTACGTTGAAGGGTGGGGGCCATTCTTCTTCTCTTTTTTTTTCCACGTTATTTTTGTCCCATTTTTATTTAAATTTTGTTGGATTATGTGAAAGTGGTAAAGAATAATAATACAATAAACCAATTTTGAATGAAATAAGATATAAAATTCTAGAACGTTCAGTTGATGTCGGAGGTCCTTGGTCAATTATTTTTTCCGTTCTGATTTGACTATTTGCTTATAAATAAATTTGTTTCTTTTTTAAATAATCAGAAAATTTAATAATTCTAGTGGCGAATTTTGATCGGTAAAAAAATTGTTATTGGGGAATAAAAGTTGAAGTTTTAGTTGAAAACCCCGGGTAAGTAAATTAGATGAGATTTTGCTAAAAAAAAGAAGAAGTAATATTAGAATCATTAGAAAAGATAATAGAGATTCATCGAGTGGTTCGCTTTTTTCTTCATGATCTATGTATAACATGTTTATAATTATCCTACAAGGCAACGATTGTTTGATCTATCATGCATTATATGTTTTGACTTCTTATAATTTATTCGACGCCATTCACATACAAAAAAAAGGTTGAAGTTTCCGAGATAATGAATAAGATATAAACTGATATGTATAGTAAGGTATATCTCTTAAAATAGTAAGTACTAATGGAGTAATATAGTTGACACTGACAACACAAAAATCCAAATTTATTTTTACTCTACCTAAAAGACAAGAATCATTCTAATTGTTGACTAGTATTAAAACTAAAAGGGGACATGCAGGGGTTACACTTCTAGATCCGTCTTAATGACCCATTACTAGTAATTATAAACTAATTAAATACTAGTAGTAAGTCGACGCCATGTACTCTTTTAGTCTTTTAGTCTTTACGATCCACACTTTGAAAGTTTGAATAAGGATAACTAACATAATCTTTCATTTCATAACGTTAATCGAATATCAATGTTTTTTCTTCTATTATCGTCGACCACAAATCAGGTTTTTGTATATGTATGTCGGCCTCGTCGACAATGCGGGTGCCAGTTAATGGAAAAATATATGAGTACATAACAGGAGAAAATGTCAAGAACATTGACCAATCATTGTTTATTTTGTAAGAAAAATGGAAAATTTTCAAGGCAACATTAAAGCCTAACACGTGGCTTCACACGAGTACAAAAACACGTTGATTATATAGCTTGAAATCCCATTTGTCACACGGCTCTGACTCACTTCTTTTGGTGTTATTATACTCCCGACATCACTAACACCGAGCCGTGTTTTGATGCAACTTCCATTTTAAAAAAAAAAAATGTTTTATTTTTCCTTTTCGAAACTTTAATTTATTTATCGAGGACTCTAAATGGATTCGATAAAAATTGTAACTCGCAGTTACACAGCTTTAGAAATAAATTACACATAATGCAAAGCAAAGTTTATGAAAATGACTTATAAGGTAATCGAATCCAATGAGGAATTATTTTGATGGAACCATTTAGCTAGCCACAACAAACTCTGTTTCACTACGATTTCCACACCCAACCATAACAATAACCGATCATGGTGGATGGTCTAACTGGCCTTTCCTGAAAGATCCTCTTGTTTAAAAAGATTAAAAATGTTACTGTTTTTTTTTTTGTTCAGATTAGTTATGGATTTGTAATTTTATTAGTAAAGAACATATCCTTGTATAATAAGCCAGTGTTTGATTAGGATTTGAGCCCCTCTTACGGGTAGGATCGCCAAGCACTTCCTAACATGGACAACGCTAATCTATTTTGAGTTATTTTTAATTGTGAAATCTCAATCAGTCGTCTTTAAACCGTCGTACACTCGTTTGATCTTAAAACACAACAAAAAGTAAAGCGATGAAAACAAATAGTTTACGATCCAAACTATAGAAGAAGATCTTTGGATACACAAGCACAAGAAATACACTAATAACTCTTTTTTACAAGAAGAAGCACTTAACTTTTCTCTCGCCTCTCCCCTCTCTCTAATCTTATTCAATGTTTCTCGTACACGGAATCACACGATAAATAAAATTGAAGAACCGAGGAAAAGAAAAACCTTATTTGCCTTTTAAAAAAAAAAGTTATCCAAAAAATTTACACGGTTTCTGAAAGAATCAGATATCATAAGTTACAACAGAGATGACAACAGTTGAAATTTAATTCTACAAATCTCACTGCGTACTACATAAATTACAATCCAAGAACAACAACAACAAAAAAAAACACTTCAAACAATTAACAATTTAAGATCTCTGTCTCACTCTCTCTCTCTTTACTAATCTACATGATTCTTCTCCCAACACAAAGCAACCATCATGGCAGAAGCACTTGAAGCTCCTATTTGAAGAAACCAATGACACAGCTAACTGATCTTTTTCGGATCATTCAGAACAAACTCTGCATACAGATCCTTCAAAGCAATCACCACCGTCGTTATCAACGGTCCCATTATCGCTCCCTGCAACACAAAACCCCCCCAAAAAAAGTATTACAAAATCGCCAAATGTTTGTTGTGCCTAAAGTTACATACAATCTTTATATTGGTTACCTCGAGAGCAGAAGGAAACAGAGTCACTCCACCAATAATACTTAGTCCAGTAATGTAAGCATTGGATCCTGGAATGTCATCTTGGATCTCTGAAGCACCATACTCCATTAACACAAGATGAGTCACAGATAAAGTCACTGCAACAATGTATCTTCCTTCTAGCACGAGCTGCAACGCAGCTGGGATCGTCGCGAACCAGTAAGGGAAAATCGGCAACAGAGCGCTGATGAAGGCAAGAACTGTCGACATGTAGAGGAAATGTATATTGTACAGTCTAAACAACAGCCAAGTGAGACATCCTTGGAAGAAGGCGATCTCCGCCGTGGCTAAAAGAACGCCGGAGATGGCCAAGTCGAGGACTTCGACGCATCTGACTCTAGCGCTTGGGTTGATAGGGATCATGTTCATGACTTGCTCCGTTACACCGCCTGATTCCGACGTGATTAGAATGTACAGAACCCAAATGAAAACCATCAGCTGAGAGACAAAGTTGAAAAACTCCGCTGCGCCTGAGATTATCGAGTTTCCTATGGAGAAGACGAACTTAGCTCCGCCTCCAACAACCGATGCGCTGCTTGAGAAAACCCTTTGTGATACATCCATTCCTTTAACAGCAAAGCCTTTAGCTTTCTCCACTAAATCTTCTCTTGTGATTATAAGCTCCCTGAAGATCACATCGACCTCCGAGTATATCTGACTCCATTCTCGGTTCTTGACCCGAGTCCTCAAGCTCATCAGCTTCTCGGTGTAAGGAGACGGAGCTATAAGCGCCGTGGATGGCGTTGACGTGTTCTGAGGATGCCCGATCACGAAATGCTTAATGCCCGTGACTAGCTCCGTCATGTTATACTGCATTGCTAAGCTATCAATCTGCTCAGAAACCGTTTCATAGAACTTCGTTGTGTACATATCTACCATTCCAGGGACATCATTCTCATCCATCCATTGCTTGATACCAATCTTCTCAGCGTAATTGCTCTCTTCGACATGAGACTTGAGAGAGAAAACCGCGTCTTTACCTTCAACACCAATCTTGTAAGAGAAGAAGATGACACCAGTCAAAGATCCAAGAATCATGAGCACGATCAAACCAATTGCAACGATCGTGTTCAGTCTCTTCATTATCCCTCTGGTGAAATAGGCAGTGAAATGGCTTCGCCTAAAGCTGTTAGTCCTCAGAGAAGAAACAGCAGAGAGAGTCGAATCCACATTCTTGGAGCTAAACAGAAACCCTAAAGAGAGGATCACAAGAGACCCAATTCCCCCAATTCTCTCATAAGCAATCACAAACACACCAAACGAGACTAACCATTTGACCAATTTCGAAAACCCAGACTTGTTCCTCTTCCTCGTTCTTTTGGGTTTCGATCTCCTTAGAAAAACCCTAAAGCATACGTTTTTGATATCCACAATCGATCCGATGAAAACGTTGAACACCCAAACCGGAACAGCGAGAATCACTTCGGTGAGCCCTAATTTCAATGGCTCGCTCCAGAAATCGACAAGGGTTTCTTGGATACCTCTCAACGGAATCGAACAGAGAATCGCCCACTGAATCGGTCTCAGATACTCTTGCAATAGCTTCCCAGCGAAATACAGGACGAAAATGGCTAAAGCGAGACCGGCGTGAGCCATGGCTATGTAGATAGCGAGACGCGCTTGGGAATCAACGGCGGATAGCGACGTCATGCCGGATTCTCCTCCTCCGACGGCGGAGGGTTTTTGCGGCGGCTCCGATGAAGACGAAGAAGGAGAAGGGTCTTGAGGCTTACGCGATGAGGCTGAGCGAAACATGTCTTGCCACGCGAGATTTTCGGGGATCGATGATTTCGTCTCCGAATCGTACGGGACCAATTCCATCGATCAATCTCTCTCCCTCCAAGACCGGATTTTGAAAACTACGAAAAGGTTTTCTTTTTTTACATAAATGCGTTGCCTTCAAGCCTGCAAGGAGAAACGGAGAGAGAGATTTTTCAGATAATTATTTTATCTATTTTTCTCAGATGTTATGATTGGCCATTAATGGAGACAGAATGAGAAACTATTCTAGTAACATGAAATGACGGATATGCCCTAACCGACGAATATATTAGTCTGTGACCACACCACAATGAGACGACTTCAATTTTTTCCATTACATTTACAAAACATTTTTTACATATATAGACAAAGTTCACAACCATGATTATGAGATGGGTTGATAGTTTCGTTGTTTCCCTCTTTTGGGCTTAGTCCTCTCTTCTTCTATCAGAGTATTCGCTTTTTGAAAGAAGATAGAGCATTAGTTTGAATAACTTCTTATCTCTTTTGTTTTTTACCCAAATTAAGATATTTACTATCTTATCTGCTCAAAATTACCCGAATTTCCATGTTTTTCTTCAGTGTTCGTCAAAGTTAGTCAAAGTTCTTGTTTATCAAAAATTCTCAAAGTAAATAAGAGTTCATTTTTCTCTTTGGCTCAGTGCTTCAAGTTTGTGTTATACCCAAGTTCCACCGAAATTTTTGTGTGTTTGATCAAGTATCAAGTTTTTTCCAGAAAGTTACCAACGATGTCTGCTGCTATGGACAAAGCGTTGATGGCTATGTCATTAGAGGAGGTTGAAGAGCCCTTTGATATGCCAGACCTTCCGGAATACTGCTCAAGTGGAGAAAATGGATTAAGTTTGGTTGGAAGATTGTTGAATCCTGATTGTCAAAAGATGGCTAACTTAATCCTCGATATGCCACGGAAATGGCAAAAGTATGACAAGGTAACAGGGGTGGCTCTTACGAAGGAGAAATTTCAGTTCTTTTTCAAAGAAGAACATGACCTAATTGAGATTCTTGAGAAAGGTGTTCATACCTATAACGATTGGGCCTTAGCTATGGAAAGATGGGTTGCTAAACCCCCTGAAGATTATCTCCAGTTCATCCCGCTTTGGGTTCAGATCCGTCATATTCCGATGAATCATCGTACTGTTCGTGCCATTACGGCTCTTGGAGAATTCGTCGGTCGTGTTGTTGAAGTTGTTTTTGATCCTGCTAAGGCTCAAAGTCAGGATTTTGTGCGAGTCAAAGTCTCTTTCAATGTGTCTAGACCGCTGAGAACTTTTAAGGAGGTTAATTTGCCTGATGGAGGAAAGGAAACTGTTCTTTACTCTTATGAACGCCTTCAGAAAAGATGCTACACTTGTCAAAGATTAACCCATGAACAAAGTGTTTGTCCTCTTCTCATCAAAAGGAGACAACTTGATGCTGCAAATAGAAGGTCCAACGTTCTCTCGGATAAATCAAAATCTGCTGTTTTTAAGGAGAATGACCCACTCTTTGGAGTTATATCAGAAGATCAAGTTGGGATTCACCCTATTACAGGTAAACCAAAGATTGCAGCAGAAGTTCTTGAAGGTATGAGACAATACTTAATGGTTGTGAATCCAGATGAAAGGAAGATTAGGGAAGAGAGAATCAAATCATCTTTGAAAGAGGTTGAAAAAGATCCAATAGCTAAAAAAACTGTTCTGCGTTTAGAACCGCCACCGTTAGTCTCATATGATATCAACATAGGAAAGGGGATTGTTTATGACTATGAAATGGCCGAGACAAACTCTAGAAAGGATGTTACCGCTTCTTCAGACCAGAAATTGTTGTCCTCTGCCATAAAAGCTGGAACAGCTATGAATTGGGAGTCGCAGCTTCAATCTATTCATAGCGATAATGTGGTTTGCTCTGGTATGGTTGATCCTCTATTTTTCCAGAATTGTTCAACGGAATATGACTCTGGTTTCTCTGAAGCTAGTCCATCCGGGACAAAACTGAAAAGACAGTATGTGAGGAAGAGACCTTATGTTAGCAGAAGAAAGATAAAAGGAGCGGAGGTTCAAAATGATTTGAGTAAAGCAAAGAAAAATCATGGTTTGGAGAAAGGGATCGTGGATAAAAGGAAGACAGAATCTGTAAGAAAAAATTCTCCCAAAGTTGCTAAGACCAACAACAAAGAGATGGTCCCAAATGAGGGACCGTCCAACGCTTAATGAGCTTTCTGTCTTGGAACTATCAAGGTTTGGGGCGTACACAAAATTTGACAGTTCCGCGGCTCATGGAAATGCGGAAGATGCATTTCCCTGAGATTCTATTTTTGATGGAAACGATGAATGCGATGGATGTTCTTGTAGATATTCAAGAGTGGCTAGGTTATGATCGTGTTTATACTATATATAAACCGACCATGAAATTTACTCTAAAATTAAAGCAACAAAGCATTTATTTTGGTCATCAAGTTTGTTGATAAGCATCTGATGGATCTTAATATGGAGCTATTACCCTTTTCATGTCTTGTGTTTATGGAGATCCGACTGCAAGTCTACGTCCGTTGGTGTGGGAAAGATTGCAGAGGATTGGTGTAAATAGAAAAGAATGCTGGTGCATGATTGGGGATTTTAATGAAATCCAAAACAATGATGAAAAACTGGGTGGTCCAAGAAGATGCGACTCTTCTTTTCTTCCGTTCATAAACATGCTTAATGGTTGCGGTATGTCTGAGCTCCCAAGTACAGGCAATGGATTCACTTGGGGTGGAACAAGGAATACTACATGGGTTCAATGTAAGCTGGATCGAGGATTTGGGAATAAAGAATGGTTTAGAATTTTTCCAGCTTCTAATCAAGCTTTTTTAGAAAAAAGAGGTTCTGATCACAGACCAGTTTTAGTGAAATTGATCTCTTCCCAAGACTCTTATAGAGGTTGTTTCCGATTTGATAAAAGGTTTCTTCACCAACCTTTGGTCAAAGAAACAGTGATACAAGCATGGAATTCTTCTACAAGGAATCAAGCAAATAGTGTGGCAGATAGGATGAGATCTTGTCGTCAAGCCTTAAGTAAATGGAAAAGGCAAAATAATATGAATGCCAATGATAAAATACAGCGACTGCAGAAAGATCTGGATTTAGAGTATTCAGCCGTTTTTCCTTGTTTTTAGAGAATGACATCTTTGAAAAGTGATCTTGTTAAAACCTATCTTGATGAAGAAAGTTTTTGGCAGCAAAAATGCAGAGATAAATGGCTTAGTAATGGTGATAGAAACACCAAATTTTTCCATGCCTCGGTGAAAGCCTCTAGGTCCAGAAATGGATTGGAAATTTTGATGGATGGTAATGGAATTTTACAAAGAGCTGAAGCTTCTAAAGGAGATGTGGCCGTAAAGTATTTCTCTGATCTTTTTAAATCATCTCATCCTAAAGACTTTCATGATACATTCAAGGATTTCAAGCCTAGAGTTTCGGATAGCATTAATAATTTACTCATCCAAGACGTTTCAAAAGAAGATGTCAAGAATGCAGCCTTTTCTATTAAACCGGATAGTGCACCTGGTGCAGATGGTATGACCGGTTTGTTTTTTCAACATTATTGGGATATGATTGGGGATCAAGTATCTTTAGAGATTATGGATTTTTTCAGAAAAGGTTTTTTTCCAAGAGAATGGAATTTCACTCAAATTTGCTTGATTCCGAAAAAGGTTGGGTCTCCACTTATGACTGATCTGAGGCCTATCAGTCTTTGCTCTGTGATGTACAAGATTATTTCCAAAATCATAGCATCAAGACTGAAACCCCATCTTCCTCTGATTGTTTCTCCAAATCAATCAGCATTTGTCTCTGAAAGATTGATCTCAGACAATATTATGATTGCCCATGAAGCTGTTCATGCTTTAAGAACTCATCCCAAGATCTCAAAAGAGTTTATGGCTATGAAGACTGACATGTCTAAAGCTTATGACAGAGTTGAATGGAGGTTTTTGGCTGATCTTCTCAAGGCTCTTGGTTTTCATCGTAAATGGATAGATTGGGTTATGTTCTGTGTCAAATCAGTTTCCTACTCAGTTCTTATTAACGGTCAACCGCATGGTTTAATCATTCCAGAAAGAGGGTTAAGACAAGGTGATCCCTTATCCCCCTTCTTGTTTGTTCTATGCACTGAAGGTTTGACTCATCTCCTTAATAAAGCTGAAAGAGAAGGTCTAATAAATGGTATTCAATTCTCGGATTCGGGTCCTGCGGTTCATCATTTGTTATTCGCAGATGATAGCTTATTCATGTGCAAGATAGAAGAAAGCCAATGTGCAACAATCCAAAGTATTTTGAAGGAGTACGGCGAAGCCACTGGTCAAGTAATAAATCGTGATAAGTCTTCCTTGACTTTTGGTGATCATGTTGAAGAAAGTCTGAAGACGATGGTAAAAGAAAAATTTGGTATTCACAATGAAGGTGGAGCAGGCAAATATTTAGGCTTACCGGAATGCTTCAGTGGACCAAAAAAAAAGAGATGTTGGCTTATATTCAAGATAATTTCAAGAATAGAATGTCCAACTGGTACTCAAGATTGTTATCACAAGGAGGAAAAGAAGTTTTGATTAAGTCTGTGGCTATGTCAATGCCGGTGTATGCAATGACTTGTTTTAAACTTCCTAAATATACTTGTGAGAAGCTAACTTCTGCAATGGCTGATTTTTGGTGGGGAACAGAGCAGAATAAAAGGAGTATTCACTGGATTAGCTGGGAAAAGATGTGTATTCCCAAAGATCAAGGAGGCTTAGGTTTTCGTAAAATTGAAGATTTTAACCAAGCGTTGTTGGCAAAGCAAGCTTGGAGACTCCTTCAGGATCCAGAATGTCTTTTCTCTCAGGTTATGAGAAGTAGATACTATGATAATGATAACATTCTAGATGCTGAAATAGGAACTCGGCCTTCCTTTGGGTGGAGAAGCATACTTTTTGGAAGAGATCTCCTTGAGAGAGGTTTAAGACTTATGGTTGGTAACGGTGCTTCTATAAGAGTATGGACTGACTTATGGATTGAGGATGGAGATTACAGAGCTCCTCTTAGAAAAAACAGTCTAGTAGATTTGGAATTAAAAGTGGAAGATCTTATTGATCATAGAAGGAATTGGTGGGATAGAGACAAGCTGGAGGAACACTTTTTACAACGAGACATTGATTTGATCATCAAAATCAAACCGATTTTATCATCTCCTGATTTTTGGTGTTGGAAAGCTGAAAGGAGTGGAGAATATTCGGTGAAATCTGGATTTTGCTTGGCTAGTAAAGTTAACGCTTCGGTTGTTAGAGAAGAGATGTTAAGACAACCCTCCTTTGATTAAATTAAAAAACAAATTTGGTCCTCTCTCTGCCCAGCCAAAATCAAAACATTCATGTGGAAAGTGATTAGCGGGGCCATTCCGGTCGTTGATAATTTCATTTCAAGAGGTATGAAGATGGACACTCGGTGCCAAATTTGCGGTCTTGAAGGTGAATCTGCAAATCATGTTTTATTCTCATGTACAAGAGCAAGACAGGTATGGGCTTCTTCTCAATTTCCTACTCCAAAATATGGTTTCCATGAAAATTCAGTTTTTCAGAATATCTTTTATTTGCTGATGAGCTGGAAAAACAAAGATATTCCCTTAGAAATTCGAAGATTATACCCTTGGATTCTTTGGTTGCTTTGGAAAAACCGAAACTCTTTCCTCTTTGAAGCTAAGAATTTTTCAGCCATTGATACTATGGATAAGATTAGAGATGATACCAATCAATGGTTTCTAGCTCAAGAAATAGAAAGAGTGGATCAGGAGCTTGATCGTAATGGTGCCACGTTAAGAGCAAAGAAGTGGCTGCATCCTCCTATTTCATGGAGAAAGTGTAATATTGGGCATTCATGGGATAAATCTAACTCAATAGGAGGTGCTGCTTGGGTCTTAAAGAATGATAAAGGAGTGGTTTTATTACATAGTAGATGCTCCTTCAGCCTTATTCCTTCGTTTAATGATGCTAAGTTAGCAAGCTGGATCTGGGCAGTGGAAAGTATGTCAAGTTTGCATCAGTCTAATATAATTTTTGCGTCGGAAGCCTCAGAGTTGATAGGAGCTTTATCGAGACCTAATGCCTGGCCTTCCTTCAAGTTTCAGGCTCTTGAAATCTCCAAAGTTTTAAGCAAGATCTCGGATTGGAAAACTGTTTTTGAGAGTCCGAGTACTAACAAAGGTGCTTCTCTTATTGCTAAAAGTGTTATGAATGAAGATCGTCGACAATCATATGTAGCTTTGGGCTACCCTTTTTGGATGCAGAATACATTTATAGAAGAAGGTGACATTGTTGTGTTGTAAATCCTTTTGGTCTGTTTCTGCTTTGATGTTTAGCTGTGATATTTTTTTTGTTTGTAAAAATTGGTTTGTTTGTTTATAATAAAAAAACAATTTAGACGGAAAAAAAAAATATAGACTAAGTTCACTAAAATTGATTGATAGTCTATTTCTGGATATATAAATTGGTACTTAGGGTGAGTAATCCTTATAAAATTTTGTTAATGTAAATTAGATCAGTTGACCAACACAAGTTGTCAAACCAAAATGCCACATGACTCGAACATGGAAGACACGACAAGGCCAGATATTTTAACGCGAGTCACAATCTAACACGTTCTCGTGTCTCTTTGATGTTGTACTAAAACAAAGTATTTCTATGTTTATATCCCAAAACAAGCATTCGATAACTCCTTTTACACAAAACGGATTACCATTTTTTATACTTTTTGCACAAAGTTTCTCTTTTTAGTGATTGTTATACCAACACTAGACCTTTTTTTTTCCTATCCAAATTAAGAAACAAATTCTGTCAAATAATTATGCTTTTTGATGAAAGCTTTTTGTAGAAACTAGTATTTTGCGAAACTAGATTATGTTTTGATCCATAGGCAAATACACAAATACTATGAGATGCAATTATAATTTAACAACGTACTGACCGATTCTCTCAAATTAACTCTTAACCTTCAATTACATTTTACCACAGAAATAAAAAATCGATTACAAAAAGGTCCCTTGCAAAATTAGTTGATTAGATTTCTTTTAGAAAATAATTAAAGAGTAGTATTTAACTGCTACACAAGTCTAACCTTCATATAATATAATGAAAAAAAAAGTAGTGCGATGGTTTATATGTTAGAACAAATATATAATACAGAAATGCAAACTTTTCTAAAAAAAAAATAGAAAATATATAGAAGTCGACTGCGTAATCTCTGAGATCTTCTAAATAAATGAAATTCCCAATAATTGATTTACAGAATATGTGTTGTCCTCATGTAATGACCTGTGAGTTTGTGGTCGTAAGTCCCCATGCTGGATTTTCTTCACCAACTCATCCGACGTCTGGTACACCGGGCCAAGTGACTAACAAATTGTTGGACAAGGACTGATCAAAAATGGACTTGATTAATAGGCCCATCAATCTCTGTGTATTGTATACTTCCACTGCTTTCATCATATCAAATAAAACTTGTCAGAGAGAATAGTAGAGATTTCATTTGTGAACCAAACAGAACCGGGTCCTGACTATATTGGTGTTATGTTTTAGTCATAGTAAAATGGAAATACTTTAATTAAGAGGTGGATCCACAAATCAGCACTATTTACTTTTAGTTTATGTACATAGTTAAATTATACAAAGAGATGGTGACGTGGACATGCAGCTTTTTGTTTTATTATTTTTGTAGGCCCTTCCATAGTTTGTTCTTGTTGAGACTTCTAAATCTTGGAATTAAAGCTTCACGATTTCGAGGTCAAGCGTACATGTGAAGTCATTTTTATTCGCAAAAACACAGTTAACTATCACAGGTTATCATCATTTATATATAAAAGAAATATCCTTATGTTATACGCCTAACGCATGAATCATTTGTCTAACTAACCCTACTATTTCAAAGTAGAAATTTACTGCTGGTTTTAAATACTGTATGAATATGAGGAAAATCTTAAAGTATTCGTCCTGACTTCAACAATATTTTGCTATCCCATAACTCTCTTAACCCTATCGACAGACTTTGTCAAACTTGTTGACAATGATTGATTTAAAAAAAAAAAAAAATTCGAACATAGTTAGTAATTCGATTAATAGTGTAAATGCTTTAGTGATATGCTTGTGATCAAATAGATAATTATTTAATGTGAAAAGTACATATAAACACCTATATGTTTTTGCTTTATTAGCTAGAGAGAGATATTCTCATAAATATAAACATACCTTTAAATTTGAATATATTCTGTATAAAGCAATATTGTTATACAGATGTTTGTACGGTTTAATTGGAAAAAACCTCGTAACCGAGCTGAATAAATTGTTCATCAATGAGGTCAGCAATTGGACGTACATGAAACCAACACGTGGCAACACACACACTCGACAATTTCTCAAGGGAAACAAAAAATCCCTGGAAAATTCCTCAATTTTCTTAATTTTCAAGATAAAAATGAATAACACAAAACAGAAATATATACGCCATGAAACTGCGTATTGAAGCAACTGCTAATTGTTCTCTCTCTCTATAAGGGCTCTGCCTCTGCCGAAACAATCATACCAATGACATTAAATCCAGATATCTCTTTATTCCTTTTCGTATTTTTGATCTGACGTCAAGTTTTCATTTTTTTTCACCAAAATGGAAAATGTGATCTGGGTTTTTCACAGAAAGAGTTAAAACAATCGGAGATTTTTCATTATTTTTCTTGAGTGATGGGTCTGGTTGATTCCTTGTTTGGAAAAGATGCAAGGAAATTTCTCAAAAGGAAAGACAGTGATGCTGCAGAAGCAGGTGAATGGTTATAATAATTCATGAATCTGCTCATCATCTTCCTCATTTGATTTGCCTTGCTCATTTACAAATTTCCCTAAAATTCAGAGATTTCGAAGAGATGATGCTTTGTTCTCACATTTTCTCTGTTTTTCAATCGCTAAGTTAAATGGTCGTGATCGGATTGTTGATAACTAAAGGATCATTTAATCGTTTGTTTCCGTTTTAAGAATTTAATGTTTATTACCTGTTTGATGAATTGCTTCTGAAGAAAATGAATTGCCTTTGATCAGTTTGTGATTTTGTGGATTCGTTTTCTGTTGTTTCAGGACGAGCTTTGGAAGAACTTAGAAGCTCTCTATACAATGAGCTTAAAACATCAGAAGGAGCTAAACGCCAACAACAGAGATTCTGTGGCCCTGTTGTTGCAATGTCATTCAATTTCATTGTTGCAGTTGGAATCATCCTCGCCAATAAATTAGTAATTTAGCTTCATCAATCTCAGTTTCTTCTGTCTCTTTTTCCATGTTACAATAGTAATTGTAAACTTCTTTTTTGGTGGGTTTCTAATTCTGCAGGTGATGGGACGAGTTGGATTCAATTTTCCGATCTTTCTAACGTTGATTCACTATGCTGTTGCGTGGATACTTCTAGCTTTCTTCAAGTCTCTTTCATTACTTCCAATGTCTCCTCCCTCAAAGACAACACCTTTCTCCTCTCTCTTCTCTCTTGGAGCTGTCATGGCCTTTGCTTCTGGTCTCGCTAATACCAGTCTCAAACACAACAGGTAATAGCTTAATCTGTAAATATTGCCTCAACATTCATAGCTCAAGATTTACTTTTAATAGCACTAATCAAACTGTGTAGATCTAAAATCAGACTGTGAAGAGATAAAGAGATTATGCTTTGTTTCATCTTCTTATCTCATACTTGAAAAAACTTTTGATTTTTGTCCAGTGTTGGATTCTACCAGATGGCCAAGATCGCGGTGACACCAACGATTGTCCTTGCAGAGTTTGTTCTCTTCAAGAAAACCATTTCTTCCACAAAGGTTTAGCTGGATTTTTTTAAAAAATTTCACCTGATTAATTAAAAACTTATTACATGGTTTTTTTTTTGTGCTTATAGGTTGTGGCATTAGCCATAGTATCTTTAGGTGTGGCTATCGCGACAGTAACCGATCTAGAATTCAATTTGTTTGGTGCATTGGTTGCTGTTGCTTGGATTATACCAAGTGCCATCAATAAAATTCTCTGGTCTAATCTTCAGCAACAAGCTAACTGGACTGCTCTAGCGTAAAAATCTTTCTTATACTTGATGCTTAAGCAATTGAAGTCTCCTAAGATAATATATTTTTTTATTGAATGAAGATTGATGTGGAAGACGACGCCGTTTACTGTTTTCTTCTTGTTGGCTCTCATGCCATGGCTTGACCCACCTGGAGTTTTGCTCTTCAAATGGGACTTGGGTAATTCCTCTGCAATCCTCGTCTCGGCTCTGCTCGGCTTTCTTCTCCAGTGGTCTGGTGCACTCGCTCTCGGGTTAGTCTTTTGTTCTTTGCTTCACGGTCGGAGATCAGTCTTGAGTAATTCGTATGACTTGATTCTGCTTCATTTGGCTATCATCATGATTCAAGAACAGAACCTAAACCGGTTCAAACTCATCGCCTAAACATTAAAACCGGTGCTAAACATCAATTTGTTTGCGGTTTATAGAAATTTGTTTCATGAACAAACGTTGTTGTTTGTTTCAGGGCAACCTCGGCAACATCTCATGTAGTATTAGGGCAATTCAAGACATGTGTGATCTTGCTTGGGGGTTACGTTATCTTTGGCTCCGATCCCGGTTTCATCAGCATCTGCGGCGCTGTGGCGGCTCTTGCCGGCATGTCTGTATACACGTGGCTCAATCTTCCAGGGAAATCCATCGATCACAGCTCGAGCAAGCTGCTTCCGAATCAAAACACTGCCGTTTCGAAACCTAAAGCTGAGAATGACGACGGAGGAGGAGAGACCGCCGTTGTTTCGGCTGAGCCAAATCTCTCAAAGACGACAACTGCAAATATCGTATAGCTTATGTTCTTTTTAATTAGATGCCAAGAAAATAGTTTTCTTTCCTTTTCAGGGATTAGCTTGTAAAATCGGTTTTAAGTTTAAACATTTTGCTATCTAATTGAATTAGTAAATTAATAAAATACAGATTTGATGTCTTTTGTTACTGTGTGAGATGTATTTAGATACATTTTTGTTTTTTTAATGGGTTTGACTTGTAAAACAATGCGGTAAACGTTTTTCAGGTGAAAAAATGGGCATAACAGTTATAATTTTAGTTCGTAGGAAAAGTAAACTAGTCTTACTGCCACAAAATGATCCGAAAGTCAACTTTTAAAAATAAAATACTCAAGATTATTTAGTTCACTAATTCTCAAGTTATTGATGTTTCCTTTACTTTCAGAAGTCTTTTAATACAAATTTCGAATTAACAAACATAAATATTCTTACTGCCACAAAATGATGGCAATACAATAAGAGTTTCTTGGGTAGAAATTTAAATCGCAATTTTTTTTTGTTTTTAACCGCCTCTCCTAAATATTACAGAGGGTTTTATTGTATATAGAGTAGTTTTGTATAGTTTTCTTGTATAGCTTTGGTACAGATTGATTTTGATGTATATCGGTATAGTATAAACTGATTTCTATTTTGTTTTTGGGTTACTGGTTTGCCCGTTTCTTTTGTGTATAAAACCAACACAATTGTAAATTAATTATTTAATCAATGAGAATGAGTTTTTCTTTTCCCCCTCGTTGGTGAAATGGTATCAGAGCGATAGAGTCTAACAAACTTTTCTGATCTCAGATTCTTCCTTTTGAGCTCAATTTTTCCGGAATCTCGTCGGAAAATCTTTCGATTCCGTTTCCGATCATATCTCTTCAACTTCGACGAGCTCCCTTTCGACGTTTCCCGTGTTCTACAGTCTCAAATCTCGTTTCCCGTGAAACTGAGCTGTTTTCAAGTCAACAATGGTGAAACAACAGAAATGCAAGTCGAAGTATCGCAATCCATCACCAGATTCACCAGAATTTGGTTCTCCCACACCTCTGAAGGCTCGCGATCAATCCATGGATCTTCATTCCTCTCGCGATGCTACTGGTGTTCCGAATCGCTTAGATCCTCGCAGATCTATCACTCCACGGTCTTCGCAACCGTTCGAGGTATCAAATTCTCCCGATAATGTTCATAGTCCTTATCATTTGGTTAGCTCGGATCATCCTGGTCTCGTTCTTACTGCTGAAGCCTTAGATGGCTCGAACTATGGAATCTGGAGCATAGCTATGGTCACTAGTATAGAGGCTAAGAACAAAATGAGATTTCTCGATGGTTCTATACCTCAGCCTGATGAATCTGATCCTTATTATAAGATCTGGTGTAGATGCAATAGCATGGTGAAATCCTGGTTGCTTAATAGTGTTACAAAGAAGATTTACACTAGCATCCTGTATTTTAAGTCTGCATCAGCTATTTGGAAGGATCTCCATACGCGATTCCACAAGTCTAACTTGCCTCGTCTCTATAAGCTTCGTCATCAGCTTCATACATTTCGTCAAGGCAATTTAGACTTATCGTCGTATCACACTCAAGTTCAGTCTCTTTGGGAAGAGTTATCCAGTCTTCAGATCACAGCTCGTACTGTTGAAGATCTATTAGCTGAAAGAGAGACTAATCGTGTCATCGACTTCTTGATGGGACTGAACGATAACTATGAGAGTATACGAAGTCGTATCTTGATGAAGAAGACCCTTCCCTCTCTGTCTGAAGTATACAATCTCCTTGATCAAGAAGAAAGTCAAAAATCTGCTCATGTTCCTGACATAGATCCTTCGGCCTTTCAGATCTCACAACAGCATCCTTCTCACAATGCGAATGCAGTTGTTAATACAGGCGGATCTCAGTCTAATGAAGAACGACCTACTTGCACATTTTGTGGTAAAGTTGGACATGTGGTTGAGCGTTGCTACAAGAAGAATGGTTATCCTGCTCACTTCAAGTCTAAACACAAATTCAGCAAACAGAATTCCGTTCATGCGAACATGACAGTGAATGAGTCACCTGCTACTCAAGGTTCTTCTGCAGATGATCTTTCTTCTGATCAGATTCAACAGATTGTTTCATTCCTTAGCAGCAAACTTCAATCTCCTAGTGTTGCTGTCACACCCGAGGTTCACTCTGTCTCAGTATCTTCCGACCTTTCTCAATCCACAGTTTGCCCAATTTCCGGTAAAATTTTTCCCTCTATCCTTTGTTCTTTTTCCGGAATTGATAGGCCTTATGTCTGTTCTGTTAATAGCAACATCATTGCTATTAATGCTTGGGTCATAGATACAGGAGCTACTAAACACATCACCCATGAAAAATCTTCCTTCTCATCCTTTAAAACTTTACCTAATACCACCGTTACCTTGCCTAATGGAATTCATGTGAGCATTGTTGGTGTAGGTACTGTTCCTTTGGGTAGAAATCTCATTCTTCGTGATGTTCTTTACATACCTCAGTTCAAATTCAACTTGTTAAGTGTCAGCTGTCTAACGAAAGACATGGGTTGTAGAATATGGTTTGATGAGTCTTCTTGTGTTCTTCAGGAGCGTACACAGGGATTAATGATTGGAATGGGTAGGCAAGTGGCTAATCTCTACTTTCTGGATGTTGAGTCAGTCTCTCTTCAAAGCACTCCATCTGCGTCAGTAGTAGCCAGTGTCTCTAGTCCAGATTTGTGGCATAAACGGCTAGGTCACCCATCTATGTCTAAGATACAGCCCATGCATTCTGTTCTTTCATTCCCTAAATCCAAGACTCTTTCGGATTTTCATTGTAAGGTTTGCCATTTGGCCAAACAGAAACATATTCCCTTTATCTCTCACAACAATATATGTAATAAACCCTTTGACCTTATTCATATTGATACTTGGGGGCCTTTTTCTGTTCCAACTCATGGTGGTTATAGATATTTCCTTACAATTGTTGATGATTGTTCTAGAGCCACATGGGTTTATCTCCTTAGGAACAAATCTGATGTTTTAAACGTCTTTCCCACCTACATCTCTATGGTAGAAAACCAATTTGAAACAAAACTTAAAGGGGTTAGATCCGACAATGCTCACGAACTCAAATTCACTGAACTTTTCAAATCCAAAGGCATTGTTCATTATCACTCTTGCCCTGAAACACCTCAACAAAACTCGGTGGTAGAAAGAAAACATCAACACATCTTGAATGTTGCCCGATCCCTTCTTTTTCAATCCCACATTCCTCTTCCTTATTGGGGTGAATGTGTCCTTACTGCAGTTCATCTTATAAACCGTACCCCAGCTCCTGTTCTAGAGGACAAATGTCCATTCGAGGTTCTAACTAAGAGGGCTCCTGATTATACTCAGCTCAAAGTTTTTGGCTGTTTATGTTATGCCTCTACCTCACCCAAGAACAGACATAAATTCGATCCCGAGCTCGAGCCTGTGTATTCCTTGGTTATCCTAATGGATATAAAGGGTACAAGCTCTTAGATCTTCAAACTAATGCCATTTTCATTTCTAGACATGTTGTCTTTCATGAAGAGCTCTTTCCTTTCGTCCAAACAGATCTTTCACAGGAAGCTTATAACCACTTTCCTGATCTAATGGACAACCCTCCTATGACATCTATCAGATCCGGTGTTGATAATTCTTCATCATCACCTTCCGTAGAGAGTGCTCCTTCTGACACTCCTACTACAGATGTTTCTGAATCTTCTATTCAAACATCACATAGGAGGACCAAAAAGCCTGCTTATCTTCAGGAATATTACTATGATTCAGTCATGTCCTCAACCATTCACGAAATCTTTAAATACTTATCCTATGATAAAATCGCCCCCACCTATTACATTTTTTTAGCCTCTATTGACAAAGAAAAAGAACCTGTATCCTATACTGAGGCAAAGAAATTTCGGGTGTGGTGTGATGCAATGGATGTTGAAGTCGTGGCTCTTGAGGACACAGACACATGGGACATTTGTTCCTTACCACCTGATAAACACTGCATTGGTTGCAAATGGGTGTATAAGGTGAAGTTTCATGCTGATGGAAGCATTGAGCGTTATAAAGCTCACCTGGTTGCTAAAGGTTACACGCAGGAAGAAGGTGTTGACTATAATGAAACTTTTTCTCCTGTAGTGAAACTCACGTCGGTTAAGCTTGTGTTATCTCTTGCAGCGATATATGGTCTCTCTCTTACTCAACTGGACATTTCGAATGCCTTTCTTAATGGGGACCTTGATGAAAAAATATACATGAAGCTTCCTCCAGGGTATTCATCTCGTAAGGGGGACCTTCCTCCGAATGCTGTTTGCAAGCTGAAGAAATCTTTATATGGTCTTAAACAGGCATCTCGCCAGTGGTTTCTTAAATTCTCCACCACATTGATCAGTTTGGGATTCACTCAAACAGCTGCCGATCATACATGCTTTATCCGAATAACATCTACTGTGTTCTTATGTGTTTTAGTCTATGTAGATGATATCATCATAGCCTGCAATGATGATTCTACAGTAGACACTCTCAAGGAACAATTGAAAATTCATTTCAAACTGCGTGATCTTGGCCCTTTGAAGTATTTTCTTGGCTTGGAGATTGCCAGATCTGCTGAAGGGATCACTGTGTGTCAGCGTAAATACGCTTTGGATCTCCTTGATGACACAGGTCTTCTAGGGTGTAAACCTTCTTCTGTTCCTATGGATCCTCATTTGAAACTTTCTAAGGACAAAGAAGGTGACTTTGTTGATGTTAAATCTTACCGACGTCTCATTGGTCGCCTAATGTATCTACAGATCACTAGGCCTGACATTACTTTTGCAGTCAACAAACTCAGTCAGTTTTCAGCTGCTCCGAGGAAAGCTCATCAAGAGGCTCTCTTCAAGGTTCTTCACTATGTCAAAGGCACCGTGGGACAAGGCTTATTCTACTCTGCAAAGTCAGAACTTCAGATTCGTGTTTTTGCTGATTCTGACTATGCTTCTTGTCGAGATACGAGACGATCCACCACTGGATATTGCATCTTCTTAGGAACGTCTCTCATTGCTTGGAAATCAAAGAAACAACCAACTGTGTCCAAATCATCCGTTGAAGCTGAATATCGGAGCCTATCTAAAGCAACGGACGAATTGGTATGGTTTACTAGCTTTCTCAAAGAACTCCAGGTTCCACTCTCTAAACCCACTCATCTATACTGTGATAATACCTCTGCCATGCACATTGCTAGGAATCCTGTATTCCATGAAAGGACTAAACACATAGAGTCTGATTGTCATAGTATTAGAGAGAGATTGGTATCTGGTTTGTTTGAATTCTTTCATGTCAAGACAGAGTTGCAGGTTGCAGATCCACTTACAAAACCTCTATATCCTGCTCAGTTCAAGTTTCTACTTGGCAAGATGGGTCTCCGAAACATCTACGCCCCATCTTGAGGGGGACTTTTATTGTATATAGAGTAGTTTTGTATAGCTTTCTTGTATGGCTTTGGTACATATTGATTTTGATGTACATCGGTATAGTATAAACCGATTTCTATTTTGTTTTTGGGTTACTGGTTTACCCGTTTCTTTTGTGTATAAAACCAGTTCAATTGTAAATTAATTATTCAATCAATGAGAATGAGTTTTTTTTTTCCTCTCGTTGGTGAAAGAGGGCTTGAACGGTTTAATGGTTTATGAGTACAAAAAATGGAATATATGGTTTAGTTTTCGAGTATCTATAACAACTTTGTGATCCTTTTGATAATAGGAGATATAATTAGTAATTACTTCAACTTTACTGATGTTTTCTATAATTTCAAAACACCTACCGTACTTTAACGAAAATTTTACGACAAAAAAAAAACAAAAACGAAAATTTTAATTGAATCGGGTAAACCGGTACAAACTCGGGCCGACCCGAACCCGGCTTCTGTGGAGTCCATTCCACTGTCGTTAACCAAAAAGTTGATCTCAGAACGTCTCAATTGCTTCACGACTTCATAATATCCTTTATAATCCACCGTACGCCGGCGAGTGGGACTATAAGAACTGACTCAGTGAGTCTCCGATCGAGTTAGAGAGAGATGGGGATGGGAAGTAACGGCGAATTGAAGTATGAGATCTCCCAGAACGCGTACATTAAACTCGTTCTCCACTCTCTGCGACACAAGACGGCGGCGGTCAACGGAGTCCTCGTCGGTCGAATCAGCCCTAAGGACGAAGGAGTCGTGGAGATCTCGGATTCTGTGCCGCTCTTTCACTCTAACCTCGCTCTCCTCCCTCCTCTCGAGATCTCTCTCATCATGGTCGGTCTCTCTTCTTCTTCTTATGATTCTGCTTCTTACATCTTCTTTTTGCTGATTCGAATCGGTTTGATACATGAGCTTTGAATTGAATTTTGAAAAACTTAGGATCTGATTGCTTTGGTGTGGATATTGAATTACGAATTTTTCGAAACTTTAGCTCGTGTACTAAATGTATTTATTAGCTTCTTCTTACTGTTCTCTCTGTTGCTTAATTCTCATTAAAGTCTTACTGTTGTTTCTATATGAACATTGAAAATTCAGATCTTGGATTGTTTAGGTTTAATCACCAGCATAACATTGTTCCGTAGCTGTGTTTGAGAGAGATTTATATTCTGCATCTATAGATGCTCTTGATGCGAACTGGCAGATGGGAAAAAGTCTTGCATTTCTTAACTTTGTCTAGGATTCTGAACTTACGGATTTCGGATATGTTTTTGCTGTTTTGATGTGTTAGATAGAGGAGCATTACGTGGCTCAAGGTTTGAGTATTGTTGGGTACTTTCATGCAAATGAGAGGTTCGATGATGTGGAGCTTTGTGGTGTGGCTAAGAACATTGGTGATCACATCTCTCGTTATTTCCCTCAGGCACCAATTCTCTTGGTGAATCTCTTATCCTCTAGTTTCAATTACAGCAGTTTATTGAAATAACCATCTTATGTTGCACATGTATGCTGTTTTGTAGTTGAACAACAAAAAGCTTGAAGCTTTATCAAGGAGTAAAGAGCGAAGCCCCGTGATGCAGGTTGGTATTTCTAATCAGGACAACGTTTTGGAAGGCTTAGTATAGCATGTTTTAGTAAGGAATATATATCATGGCCACTCTACACCAGTATAGCTTCTTGGCATTTAAAAGTATGGTTTTCATATTGTTATTGCTATACATAAGCTCAAGAGAGAGTATTGAAAGACTGAGAAGCTCGAGTTTTGTAGTATTTGCAAAATGTATTGTTAGTCCCGGCTCTTGTCTCATCGTTGCATTCATTTTTTGTATTGCATCCTAAACAAATACTGTCAATGCTAAGATATAAAACATGACCATACTAGCTGATTACATTTCCAGAATGTCTACCTGAATTGTGCTAGCAACTTTCTTGACACCCAGCTTATGTTGTCCTTTTAATCAACACTTCTCTTTGGGTACTTTCTGCTTGATGAAAATTTTCTTTTGCTGCAACTAATACTTAATAGGTCAAATTTCCATTTTTTTATCTGGTTAGTAATTAAAGTTGTTCTATGTGTTTGCTAGCTCTGTGTGAAGGATGCTTCTAAGAACTGGAGAGTAGTTGGAACAGATGGAGGAAGCAAGCTTCTCTTGAAAGAGCCATCGGCCAATGTAGTTTTATCAGATTACATTTCATCTGAGAAATGGAAGGACATCACAGATTTTGATGATCATCTCGATGATGTCACCAAGTAAGTTTGATACACACAAACTCAAAAAAAAAAAACTAAAAGCTATAACCTTTATGACTTTATGTAGACGATGGTAAAATCTGACTTATGTTCACTGTAATTGCAGGGACTGGCTAAACCCTGGACTTTTCAACTGAAGACGGATATGCGATATAGCTAATTAGACTTTTTTTGCTTTCATCATCTTCAGTCGAAAAACAAAAATTTCATGAAGACCTCTGTTTACAAATTCCCTTGAATCTTGTTGAAGTATTTATCCAGCTACGCAACAGAGTTCAATTTTTTTATTTGGTACACATCTTAAACCCTAGTTTTATCATTTGAATGATATGAATTGGGGCTTGTTCTCGTGATCCAATTTTTTTAATTATTTCTTTGTTTGCATTTTGATTATATAGTTGGAATGAAAGCTCTGCTTTGTTTGGCTGTTGCTCTTAAACTTGCGAAGTACATAGTTAAATCCTAAAGAACATAAAACCAAACCTAGTCCTTTTACATTGCCTGAATCACTTAAACTTCTTAGGGACGGGTTTTTACACAGATATAACGATCACCAAAGCGTTTTCCGACATCAACAATAAACCCAAATCAGGGCAAGGCTTCATCTGCATTAACCTTAAAACACTGGACAACCTTCAACGACAACACCTTTCGCTGTCGGGCAATGAGCTAGAGGGCAATGGTCTGAATTCTCAAGCCCCCACCAATCTGGTAAGCTTATATCATTGTTCTGAAACGCAAAGAAAATCAACACTCCCATAATCGCGGTACCTGCATCAAGCGCTGCAGAGAGGATGTAGTTGTGCCTTGCCCACCAAGCTTTATACCTTCTGAAGATGTAGTAGTTGAACACAACCCCAACGAAGGCCCAGGACCAGTAATGCACAGCCTTGGCTTGTGGCATTGCGCTTACCGCAGAGAAGATCAAAGGAATATGGATCTGTTTTAGCCATTTCTTCTCTGGGAACTTCCTCGATAGGTACCAGAAAGGCACTGGAGCCAAGATACCGATGAGGAAGAACCAGTTCATCCCAGGGTAGATACCTTCTTTGGTAAACATTCTCCTTGGACCGATCACTCCCCATATGATCGATGCATTGTAAAACACTTCATCTCCAGGACAAGTCCATGGACTACCCACAGGGAGCAAATCCGGGTTACATATGTTCTCAACGGAGGTAATGAGCCACCAGGTTGTACCGAAGCAGACGCTTGATGCAACCACAGTTGCAACAAGCTGGACAATGAACATAGATTTTGGAGGAACCTTCATGTAGTGACCAAGCTTGAAGTCTCCAACAAAGTACAAGGCTTGAGACATACTGATGTATCCGTAGGTCTTAAAAGCCACATTGGCTAGTGGCCTTCCCGGGTATAAGTAACCGATGATCAGCTCTGTTATAACATTAAGACCCATTTGCTGGTTCGTAGTTGCTTGGATAACTCCTATAGGCAATGTAAAGAACAAGGCGATGGTGCATGCGAGTATAAGTCCCCACCATGGAAGCTGAAGCTGTTTGTCAAAGCCCTCACAAGCATAGAGTGCGAAAGCAAATGAAACAACGAGAACTGCGATGAACCACCATTGAGGTACTGATTGATAGTTCTTCTTCATCAATCTTGAATGCACATCTCCGAACTTGTCCTTTGTTGCTGTCTTTGCCTTCTTCCACATTCCCCATATAAACCTTGACAACAACACAGCAAACACAAATGAAGCTTAGAGAGAGAGAAAGTCATCATCAGATCAAATCAGGTATTCAGAGAGAGATGTTGAAAGATCCTTACTTTCCGTCATAGAGGGCAACATGAGAGATGGTAGCGAAAAGAGAACCAAAGCTGAGTCCATAGAGCAACGCGAACATCACACTCAGATAGAGCTTGCCGTAACCGTTGTAAGCGTCTAGATTGATATCGAAGTTCTTCTCATTGAGGATACGTGTAATGTTATAGGAATTTCCAGTCTGATCAAAGGTTTGGGAAGTGTAGAAGGGAAACTTCTGTGCATCATAAGCATTAGTCCAGTAGAAGATAGGCAGAACAATGTACAAGAAGATGAAGAATCCGCCAAAGAAGTTGGCTATGGCGAAGAAGGGTACAGCCAATGGACTGCCCAAGAAACCAGCAACTGTGGACCAATCAAGACCAAACGAACCAACTCCTAAACCCTTGAGCCCGGAACCGACTATCTGAGCGGTCACTGAGCTTTTCCAAATCCAGCAGACGAATGAAATTGCGGAAATGGAAGGGAAAAGGTAACCAGGGATTATGTAGTAAGCAAAGCTGATGCCAAAGACAATAAGGAAGAATCTTAGCCTTGTTTGTTGCTTCTTTTCTGGATCCTCCTTCTCATGTAAAGCTCTGTTTAAACAGTCAAAATGAAAATCCGGATTCAGAGACTTAGAGGTAGAAAATGTTAGTGAAGGAGTCATAAACCGCTAAGACTAACCAACCTAAAGAGTGAGACTTGAACAAGATTCGACGGCCACCACATATACGGCGATTCCACTAGGAACTTCCTGAAAAGTCCAGCCCATCCATAACCCAACAACTGCCAGAAAAATGATTTTCAAATATCAAGAATGGTGAAAAAGATTGTTAAGTATTCAAATGACGACTACAAAAAAAATGATTTTTAAAATATATTAAGTGAGAGAAAAATAATCAAGAAGCATAAAGATTGTCTTTTTCCATTTAAAAAAATGTCTTTCACCCATAATTATAAGGAAAAGAAATTGTTTTTTTATGACTTAAAACTGCAAAAAAAAAAATTGTCAAGAATCAAAAACATTTTTCTTTGGCATTAGCAACAAAAAAAAAAAGTTCTAAAGACTTATATAACTGCAAGAAAAATAATCAAGAAGCACGAAGATTTGTATTTTTTTTTTTTTTTTAAATACCTGAGTGGTTTGTGTGAGCAACATTGCGGCGGCGACATTGAGTTGACGGTGGTAAAAAGCTTTGACAATGGTAATAATACTGGTGGCGTAAGCTCCTCCAGCTCCGGTATTAGCAAATATTGTGATAAGAACATGTTCCTTCATATTGAACGGACCAGGGTTAAACGACCACGACCAGTTCGTCCCCGGAAACCCGAATTTCTTTGTCGGAAGCGTCGCCGCCATGAGTTTCCCTAACGGAAGAGTCACGATCTGAGCCGCAACGGAAGATACCCAAAGCTGGTTCGACCGGAAACTAAAGAACTGGTTCACGAACGCAAGCAATATGCAAGAAAGCAGTCCAAGAAACCATGTTCGGAACGTTAGAACCGGTAGTGTTGGATCGTCCGTTATCGGTACGGTTAACCGGACTTCTTCAATCGGATTGTCATTGATCTCCTCCTCTTCTTCTTCCTCTCCTGCACGTACGTCAAATTCACTCACTCTTTAAACCAAAATTTAATTGAAAATTCACTCTAGAAAACAAGAATCAAAGCAAAACCGGTATAGACCGAAATAAACCGAAAGCAAGGAGGTTTCATTACCGTTGATTACGATCTTGGACTCGTTAGGATTGTGATCGGAGGGTTTGGGATCGTCGAAAACGCTCGTCATTGTTTTTTTTATCTTCAAGCCCCTTTTTTCCGTCCTTCACGATGGTTTCTTGTTGTTGAAATCGAGGTTGTCTCCGGCGATGGTGACCGGATTTCTAGTCCTCGATAACCAGTCGGAATTTTTGAAAAGGAGCCTGAAAAATAAAAAATTACGATAACGTTTTTAGTCGTACGTGCTTGTCCAGATGCATGTATGTGTGTGAATCTTCATTCATTGATAAATAGACTTTAGACGATTAACACCACAAGATTTTTATTTTTTTTAACCTTTTTACTATAATTAAACTTGAGGACGCCGTAAATTAAGGATCGGTTTTCTTTACGTTTGAATTTGTTTGAAACAGTTTTAAAGTTCTTGACGCAACAAGATTAACTAATTCTGAATTGGAATCTTCTAATTGGTCAACTGTAGATTCTTTGTTTAATTAGTATCTCAATAGAATCCTATAGACTGGAATCTGATAATCGAATTATTTATTCTTGCACGGGAAGGGGGAAAAAAGTAAATATGGAAATAAATGTGACGGAAAAAAAGAAGAAGAAAGCAAAAATATATTGAAGACATACATGCTTTGTTTGCAGATAATTAAGCGCTTAATTAGGAATTTGAGACCTAACGGAAACCTAACATTCTTGAAACATTAACTGTATCAGCTCTATATTAATTAAGTGCATTGGGTCCATGGTTCATCTATTTTTCAAGAATTAAGATTTTATGTTTTCGATTTTCCAATATAACAAGAACAATAAAAAGGATAATTATTAACTAGACCAGCTTTTCGCTAGAGTGTTTTTTTGTTCCATTCATCTCATATTTGTAGCTACGACATCACCAAACACGCGTGTATGTATATTATTAACCATAATTTATAAACCGATACAAAAACAGTAACCGGAAATTGAACTAAAAATTGGATTTAAAACCCCTAGGTTAATCTATAAATGTGAAAATCAATAGTTCAGATGGAGAAGCTTAAAAAAAACAATTTAATTCCCGATCCGAATATTGTAGTCTTAATGAATCATATTTGATCGTATAAGAGAAGAAAAAAGTTATGTTTTCTCGGAAACTTACTTGGTCAAGTCCACTCGTGTAAAGGATGTGGACAACCCGTAACTCGCGATTACAAGATTTTGAGAAATTTGTTAATAGAATTCTTTAAGAGGAGGCTTATTTATAGGACGAGAAGAAAAAGCTTATTTTCCAGGATATATTTCGCAGTTATTGCAGATTCTTTGGTTTCTATTAATAGATTCCAAAATCGTTGCGTTTTGATTCGATATTTCTATTTTTATAGAAATTTCCATGCATGGTTAGTTTTCCACTGTCTAGGTTCATTTTACGTTTCTATTGCCAGCTCTAACGATTTCACTTTGATTCATCTTAAATTAGATAGAGTTGAATCTACCTGGCAGATTTAATTCTCTAACAGATCATATTTATAGTAAGATCAATCTAATCAGTAGAAATTATGTCAGTCCAGCATGTTAGGAGTTTGAAATTTCCAAATACAAAAGGCTTGAAAATGACTTTTGACACCATATGTAGTGAATAGTGAATATGTCAAATACATCGTACATAATGTATAATTAGTTACTATTATGAGACGTAATTTTCTTATAATCGAATAAATTCCAGACTAAAGTATAGACTAATAAATCATTAGAGTATGTGAAAGAGCATAGTTTTTTTTTACTGTTTAAAATATTTACTAAGACTATCCATGATTGAAATTATAGTAAACTTGAATTCGGTTTTATGAAGTAAACTTGAATTCGGTTTCATGATAAGCGAAATTAAAAAACTATGAAATCTTTTCAAACTTGGATATTTATGATCCATTTATGATCTTAGAATAACAAAGTTTACATAATTTATACAATTTTTTTCTTTCATTACAATGCTGCGTGATATTCTTTGTCAAGAAATAAATGCTGCGTGATATGAGATGTGTTATGTTACCTAATATCAAGAAAAGTCGGATTTGTTCGATTAGTCTCTAATTAGATGTCTTGCATCTACATACGATCACTAGTACAAAAAAGAAGAAGATCATTATTTCTTTAACTCGACCGCTAAATGATACAATTCATCATTAACATCCTTAATCTTGTATAGTTGACATGTCCTTTACCAAAACTCTATATAAAGACGTGGAACTTGTTGATAGTATTGACTCGAATGACTAATTAATTGATGTTTGAAATCATATGAAACAACTATGGCTCCATTGGCATAGGATATTTATTAGCTTTCGCAACCAGATTTTTGAATGGGACTTGCAACCACATATCTATTACGTCATGAGAAAAGGATGTATGTCTAATAAACTGTCTTTCCTGCAACGGGAAAACACCGACTCAAAGGTCATTCCAGCAAGAAAAATATGAATCCTTTGGTATTACATTAACTTGTGTTCAAACAATATACTGCCATGCTAATAAAGAGGTGAATACGTCATGATAGAAATAAAATAGCATACTCAAATTTTTTGTTTTTCTAATCTTACTGGTAGAGCTAGATATATATAAATAACCAAATACTATCATTTATCAAATTGTAAATAACATAACATGTTTTGATCAAAAAAAAAATAAAAAAAATAAATAACATAACATGTTGAAAGTTTTTAAGTTGTGGTCCGATATTCTGGTGATTTTAATGTGCTATATATGCCTTCAAACTGTTCGCCATGATATGCAGATTGCGCTTTAGATTATTCGTTTGCAGTATATGTGATTAACGATAACGTAATAGATAAAAAAATATCCAATGATTGTAGTCCAATCCTCAGATCTCATTAAGAGTAAATTAAATCATCAATTTTCTCTTTAGTTATACATGCATGTACGTCTACAATATCCAAAAGAATGAACATTAATCTCGATAGATTAATTAACATTGCATCCCGTCAGATTTCTTCGAGAAAACAGATAAAATATCACTATATGTTATCATTACCTAGTAAGATTGCATAGAGTCGACATCAACTAAGCTAAGCACAAGACACAGATAATTAATGACAGCATATTTTTCTCAACCCATTTGCCAAAATGCTACAAGATAATGTGGTGCCGTGTCTTAAAGATTAATACAAGTTGATTACAACTTCCGTTGACCGAGGGGCGCGAAGTTGATAAAACCATCTCTTTAAATTAAAAAAAAAGAAAGAAGGTTGATAAAACAACCATTAACAGATTATTGGCACTTCTGAACATTTTAGTATTCCTTTCTCACTCACAAAATGACAATATAGAGCAACTTGTTAGAAGAAGACGATGAACACGTTAAATGGACCACCGAAAATCCAAATTTCTAAGCCAATGGATGGAAAGACTTTCTGTAAAAATTGTGGTCAACCAATTTTGTCCACCTTACCACTATGAATGATTTTCGACCTCCTTTTGTTCCACAAATCTTGGAGCTACATATTATTGAGCTGTTTTGGGATAATGCTATATATGAATATTCTTGTATATACTAAACCGAAGACCATGAATTTCTTAAAGTTAGCAAGCTTTTATGTGGAGGGGACTTTAAAATTTAAAGATTAAATCGTTTTTTTTTAGTTTCACCAAAACTTTTGGTACTATTTTCGTTTTGCTAGTTCCAAAGCTCGCATGTACCACCAAGGTTTGTGGTTATACTTGATCTATAATGCTCCCCCTTTTTCTCTTTTTTTTTTATTGAGCCGTCTCAATCAAACAAATTTTAGAGGATTGTGTTAATTTCTCTGATTATCTGTGTTTTTTTTCCCTCCAAATTCTCTTATTTTTTGTTGTTCTATACTTCAAAAATATATTGACATCCATACTACATTTGAAGGTTGTGTTTTTTAAATGGAAATGCCAAGAACCAGTCATGTAGTTACAAAATTCATTGATTAAAAGACTTATTGGATAATAAGTATTTCAATTGGATTTAACATTAGAATTTCCTAAATTGTATATGGTAAATATGGTAAATAAACTAATTACTGGTTCTTTATCTAGAGAGTAGCCTAATACTAGTTTGTGTTAGTGTCGACGATGTGTGCATATCCAAATCAATCCCCATATATTGCATATTATCGAAGAACAAAAAAAAAACACTACTGAGTGGGTTGTCAAATAACGGATTTCAAGTGATGAAGTTTCTTCACAAAGATCTAGCCAAAGAATCAAAGATAAATCTTCTAACCTATGAAATGGAATACTATTGTTGATTTTTTCTTTCCTTTAACCATTGTAAGCAAGCATGGAAACTAAAAACCACACGGAAGATCAAACATTTTGTGTGGCAATGTGTTAATGGCTGTGTCCCTACTTGCCAACGTTTATTCTCGCGTCACATAAGCCGTGATAAAGGATGTCCGAGATGCGGGGCTGAGGAGGAGACGATAAACCATGTGTTGTTTGAATGTCCTCCGTCGAAGCAAGTCTGGGCCCTCTCAACTATCCCTTCGGCTCCTGATGTTTTCCCCCAATCTTCCATTTTCGGTAACCTTGATTACTTATTTTGGAGAGCTCAAGACTCTGGTCTTAGTGAGGAACATCTCCGGATTTTTCCATGGATTCTATGGTTCATGTGGAAAGCACGGAATAAAAAGGTTTTCGAAAATGTGGATGAACTCCCGCCTAATATTCTAGATCATGCTAAGGCGGAGGAAACAGCTTGGAGGATAGCAAATGAAGACACTGATGCGACCACTCTAGTCAGGGAACCCACGATATCCAATATTCTAACTGCCGAGGAGCCTGGATGCTATGTCGACGGATCATGGACGCAATCAGCGACTGTTAGCGGACTCGGCTGGGTAGTTTCTTTGAGGACGAATTCCATCCTCATAGGGCTAAGAGGCACGGCTCGATGCTTATCATCCCTTCACACCGAGTTGGATGCGCTGATTTGGGCCATGCGATGTATCCTCTCATCACACATATTCTGTGAGAATTTCTATACGGACTGCTCTGATCTGATATCCATGACATCGAATCCTTCGGAATGGCCTACATTTGCCGTGGAATTACAAGAATTTAGGGCCTTATTGCTATGTTTTAGATCATTCTCCTTGTATCATGTACCCCGATCATGTAATATCTGTGCTGATAAGTTAGCTAAAGCTGCTAGGGTACGAGGAGTTAGGTTTTCCCATGTAAGCGTTGCGGCTCCGGCTTGGCTATCCCTTGAGGATAGACTTTTGTTGCAATCGTAATAAAATGGTGCATTTGTTGTAAAAAAAAAAAAACCATTGTAAGCAAACATCTCAACTCTCTGAGTAGCCAAAAATAAAAACACACATTCTGAGCCCGATTATAGAAAAACTTAGGTACAAATCAAAAACCAACATGGACTCACATTTTAATCATGATATAAAAATGGGCCAAAAATTATCTCGATGAAGGCCCGTTTAATCACTATACCTCGTGTAATAATACTCCAAAATCCTCACCTTCTTCTTCTGTGTTAAACCCTCGCCGCGAGAAAAACCCTAATTCTAAAATTCGCCATGGTTGTCCTCACTCGTAACAAGAACAAGGGGGCGAAATCTCTAACTCCTCCATCGAAAAATGTGACTAAAACTCGGACGCCTCCTCTATCGAAGAATCAGGCGAAATCTCAAAATCCTCCATTGAAGAAGGCGGAGAAGACCCAAACACTGGCACCGAAGAAGGGAGTAAAGTCCCAGAAGAAACCACCATTGAAGAAGCAGAAGAAGGAAGTTGTGAAGGAAGTTCCTAGCGATAGTGATGAAGAAGTTTCCGATGGTTCTGATGATGCCTCTACCGATGTAGAATCAGAAGAGCTTGATGAATCTGATGATGGACAGGAAGGCTCCAACGGGTTAGGTTCTTCTGGGTTTTTCTCTGATGATGATGATGATGATGATGATGATGATGATGATGATGATGATGATGATGGTGATGATGATGAAGAAGCAAACGATGACGGTGAAGAGCTCTTGGGTGATGACTTCCTCGAAGGTAGCGGTGCTGAAGAGGGTTCCCCGGACTCGAATACTGACTCCGATGAAGAAGATATGCAGACGAAATCTGAAATTATTGATATAGAAAACGAAAATCTGAAGAGATTAGCTAAGCAAGAACTGGTGGATTTCAACAAGGAAGCTGGACCTGATGAACATGATGCGTTTCGGCTACCAACTGAAGAGGTACGAATTAGAAATGTGCAGTGCTCTGTTTCATTAGAATATTTTTCTGGGTTTCTTTTGGTTATGCTCTGTTTTGTTATACTATGTTTTTAGCTATATCTAACTGCTTTTATTATCCTTCATTGTTTAGGAGCTTGAAGAAGAAGCACGTGGACCACCAGATCTTCCTCTACTGCAGAGTAGAATAAAAGAGAGTCAGTAACATTCCAATTTTCATTTCTTTATAACTGTTGAATATATGTGTGATGGTAATTCTCGGTTATGTCGGAATTTCTATACTGATATTCTAGGTTTTGAGTTCTAATGGTCAATTCATCTTTCAGTTGTTAGAGCTTTGTCAAATTTTAAAGTTTTGAGGCCAGAAGGATCCAGCAGGAAAGATTGCGTTGAACAGCTCAAATCTGATCTTGCTTCGTATTATGGCTACAACAGTTTTCTTATTGGGGCTTTGTTTGAGGTTAGCCTCTAGTCTCTGATCTTCAATTTGAAGTTCCATTTTTTCCCTTTAGTAAATTATGGTTAGGATGTTGCCAATAATCTTAACTTATGGATGTTGCCAGTAATCTTTACTCATGGATGCTAAATTGGGTTTTCTTCTTGCAGCTGTTTCCTCCTGTTGAACTTTTGGAACTAATTGAAGCTTTTGAAAAGCAAAGGCCTACTTCTATCCGGACAAACACACTTAAGGTGAACTTGGTTGTGCGTTACTGGGTTATAGCTTATGACTTTTGAATTCTGCAATTTCATGGTGATGTTTGTTTTGTTTTAGACTCGAAGACGGGATCTTGCTGATGTGCTTTTGAACAGAGGAGTCAATCTAGACCCATTAGGCAAGTGGTCTAAGGTAATTAGTTTGTTTTCTTAGTTTGTTTTTTTTTTGTCATATTTGATGAATGTTCCATAGTTAATATGTCATAAGTATTGTAGGTCGGACTTGTTGTTTATGATTCACAAGTGCCAATCGGTGCGACTCCTGAATATTTGGCTGGTTACTACATGGTTAGTGATCTTCTGATCTGTTGTACCCTGCTGTTCACCATTAATGATTAATGTAAATTGTTTGCTTAAGTATGTACTTGGTCCATCTGCAGCTTCAAGGTGCTAGTTCGTTTCTGCCAGTGATGGCCCTTGCCCCTCGAGAGAATGAACGGATTGTGGATGTAGCGTAAGTTACCATCATCTATTTGATTTTAGACGCATCTGAACATTATTATTTTGTGAATGTGTCATATGCTATAATGTAAATTGTTTGATCTGGTTGATGTGAAAAAAAAACCTAATTTGAGTGTTTTGACTGTTTCGCTATTATGACTTTATTACAAAATTGTATACCATACGCAGTGCTGCTCCTGGTGGTAAAACAACGTATGTTGCTGCACTAATGAAAAATACCGGTATGTGTTCATTGCTATCTCTTCTTATCCCCATATTCAAGTTGTTTGTCTTAATGTTTATAATGACTATTTTGGTGTAGTAAAGTTATAATGATGTTATATAATCAGGCTTAATATTTGCGAATGAGATGAAAGTACCGAGGCTCAAGTCGCTAACTGCCAATTTGCATCGCCTGGGGGTCACAAATACCATTGTTTGTAACTACGATGGTAGAGAGGTTAGCTTCTTGAACATTCGTTATCTTTTTGATGACGTAGAACTCGAGATTGTTGAGTTTCTGTTACCTGTTCATAAAACCCATTACATCTACCTCAGTTCACATTACTGGCATGACTGGAACTACAATATTTTTGATCTGATTTTTTTTCCAATGTTACACTTACACAGTTGTTTTATTTTTAGCGCTTCTTGTTTATTCTGCTTTGATTTCAGCTACCCAAGGTGTTAGGCCAGAACTCCGTTGATAGAGTATTGCTGGATGCACCTTGCAGTGGGACTGGGGTAAGAAATTTCGAACCTCGTCTCTGTTAAACCGTAGTTAAGCTCTAGCTCTTTATAACTAACTGTTCTATGTTGTCCATACAGGTTATATCAAAAGATGAATCAGTTAAAACTTCGAAAACTCTTGATGATATAAAACAATTTGCTCACTTGCAAAAGGTATGACAGTACCTTCTTAGACAACGTCAAGTCAAATATATCTGAACAAACAATATCATCATATTTTTTTAATCATGCAGCAACTCATTCTCGCTGCTATTGATATGGTGGATGCCAATTCCCAAACGGGTGGATACATTGTTTACTCAACATGTTCACTTATGGTTGCTGAGGTTGGTTTAACTGATATATTCTTGTCCCATCTCCATATTTCTCTCCTTTGTCTTTGATGAATTCTCTTTTTGTTCTTTCTTTTGTGTGAAAAAAAATCTCGCAGAACGAAGCTGTCATTGACTATGCTCTCAAAAAGAGGAGTGTTCAACTCGTAAAAACTGGACTCGATTTTGGCCGAGACGGGTAATGTACAAATTCTATCTGTTATAGAAATATTGGAAGGAACATTACAATGATACGTCTAATGTCTCGGAATCTTTGTCCTTGTCTTCATCAGATTTACGAAATTTAGAGGACAACGGTTTCATCATTCTTTAGAGATGACTAAACGTTATTATCCTCATGAACACAACATGGACGGCTTTTTTGTAGCAAAGGTACTCACTTTTAACCCTATAAATGATCTCAACTATGTTCCTTTTCATTACTCTAATAGTTGATAAACCGAAATAGATAACCTACCAATTTTGATTCTATGCGTTTCTTTTTTTCTTTATACAGCTGAAGAAAATGAGCAACATGAAACCATCTTCAGAAGATGATGACGAGGCGGTAGAAACTGTAGAACAAGCTGATGATGAAGCTGAGGCCGATGAAGAGATGGAAACTAAAGAAAACAAGAAGAAGGAGAAACTTGCAAAATCAAAGGAGAACAAAACAGGCAAAAAAGATAAGAAATCAAAATCTAAACTTGGAAATGTAGAACGTCCAAAGAAGCAAAAGAAGAAGAGATCTGATTGGAAGAAGGAAATTGCTCAAGCTAGGTAAAAATACAAACCATGAACTGAAAGATGATAATGTTATTTTATTTTGCTTGACAAAATCTGAATAAACAACACATTTGCAGGGAAGAGAAAAGAAGAGCCATGAGAGAGAAGTCGAAGGAGAAGCAATGATTCGGTGTATTTTGCATCAATTCAAGTGACCCTCCTAAAAACGTTTTTGCGCTTATCATTGATTCAATTTTCTGCATGTAGTTTGTTTTTATTGCACGTACAAACTGATATGAAACCGTAAACCGAATACAATTGTACAACCGTAGACAAAATATTGAAAGTTGAAAGGCTCTGAATATTTTCATTTTTATATTTCCATTTAACAGAGATATTAGAAATTAGGGATTTGGCAGTGAGCTGTTGATTGGTTGTAAGTAGTTTGATAGAGAGTAAGAGAGACTCTCTCGAAAGTGGGACTTGTGTTGGAGAACATGACAACCCATTCTTCATCTATCTCTGTCAGATCTTGTTTGGGGACCTCTCCAAATTAATTATTTGATTATTTATCCTTAACTCCTTTTATTTTTCTTTTCTAAACTAAAAATTGCATTATTCCGATTATATTTTCTTATACAAAAATATATCATATATTCTAAAAATCATTAAAGATATCTACATGATCGATTATATGATTCCATCAATCATTTTTTTTATTGGTCTTATGATGGATTTCAGACTAATTTTAATTTGTTTACTTTCTTCCTGCTTTTTTTGCCTACAATTTACTTTCTTCCTGCTTATAATATTCAAAAGGAACATTTAATTTGTCTGCTGTTCAAAAGAACATTTTTTGTAGCGAAAAAGATGGGCTATGTTATAACAAAAGAAGATATTATTAATTAGTTGGACTATTATTTTTTTCTTTACGTCAAACAAAATCATGTGGACTATGTGTTCTGACATTTGTGGTTGTACTAAAGCTGAGTGGATATAAACTATAATTAAACAGTGATTAACTGGATATAGGTTTACTACAGTACCTACCACATAAGTAAATCGGTACAACATATAAAATTAACACAAATTACATCTACTTTTTTAATAAAAGTACCCCCATCATATGTAATTATTTTGGTGGACTTTAGTTACTGAATTTAGTTGGCTTTAGTTCCCAAATTTTACTCAGATTATATAGTTACTCATCTCAAACACTGGAAGAAAATTAAACATAAATTTTACTAGGTAAACGAATTTGCGTGAAGTTGTACATTTTGGATATGGGATAAATATACACAGCTACAGTTATAAAATTGTATCGTATATATTTCTTATAATAAAATTATGAGACCTAAACTTAAATTATCAAATTTTTGTGGTCATTTTGAACAGCAGCCATGAATAGTCAAAATTGAATTACAGTAAAAAGTATATATTGAACTATGGTTTTCAATTGTTAAGATGAATCATTCAAATACTGGGTCATAATAAATTAACTCTACACTTTATAGAAACTCCGTGACATGATAAGAAAAGCATGAAATTCTTTGTTAAATAAAAAGCACGTACTAATGCTTTTAAAGCATGGTCAGTTTTTATAGTGAACAATGAACATTTCCACCATTGGACTATGGTGAGTTAGTTTATTTATAATTTGTTATTGGAGATTCTATTTTGATCCTAAAAAATGGGATTGTTACGAAGAAAGATTCCCCATGCGCGTTTCACGTCCGAAGCCGATCGTGTAGCGATTGTCGTTATTGGATCTGAGCTTTACCATTAAATTTGATGGAGTTATATTGGATCAAAATAAGAGTATGAGGTCAAAAATGAATTAAAAATGAATTATTGAGATAACTGAAATGAACAAACTATACCTACTTGTGTTTTTTTATGTTGAACAATCTTCTGGTTTGTCAACTTCCAGTTGAACAATTTCTACAAACATTTTTTTTTCTGCTCGATTGAATGTAAAATAATTAAAGAAACAATGGGTGGGGGAATGCATTCTTAGATTTAAGATCGATATAAATCAGAAAGTGTCTTGACCAAAAAAATTAAATCAGAAGGTGCATTTATCAAAAAAAAAAATCAGAAGGTGCTGAAACCAAGAAAAGTTCACAGTATATAATTTATATACTATCATTAATTTATGATTTATACTAGTGAAAAATTTATAACCATTTTATTTCAAGGTTAATTGTTTATTGGAAACTGTAATCAGTACATAATTTGTAATATCCGTTGTAAATTAACTGGAAGCATAACGAAATGGTAAGTCTAGCAAATCTTTCCAAAATAAAGATTTATAATCTTATTTGAAAGTCCAAAAACTCGGAAGCGATCTTCTTTCGTACTCAGATTCTGCGGTTGTGGTAAAATTTAATACCAAGAGGCCCAATAATTATGAAACCTACGAAATTGCATGTGATAATATCAAGATTTACATGACGTAAAATTTAATACTCCACGAAATAGCATCTTTATGTATACAAGAAACGAGTAAAATTGATAAAACAATACTATTAGTTTATGAAAATATAAATAAATTTATAATTATATATATTGTTTTTTTTTTAAATTAATTTGTCCCTTAAAAACCTCAACTATTACAGCTCACGATAGCATCCTTGATGTAAACCTTTGTCTTCCATTTTGAAGAAAACAAAAATACATTGAAATAATTGAATCCCTCAAAAATTAAAAAAAAGTATTCAACTTTTTCTTTGACCCAACTCTCTCTCTTGCCTCTTTTCATGGTAGACCCAACTCTCTCTCTCTCTCTTTAGCAGTCTCTTTTCCCTCTTCTCTATCTATCCCCATTTCCATGGAAGCAAGGAGATGTGTTCATCTCTCTCTACCTCTCTCTACAGCGTTACATGAACAGTGACTGCTCTCTTACCTTCCTTTTTTTCTTGCCTTGCTCATTTTCTTCTGGAAAAAGGGTATCTCGTGATCTTTATTGCTCAAAAATCGTAACTTTCAGGTAACAATTAAATGGATTTTTTCCTCTCTCTCTCTCTCTCCAAAGCTCTGTTCTTTTTTCTTTTTCTTTTCTGGGTTTTATTCTCTGATTCTTGCTAGATCCAAAAGGCCTTTATCTGCCTGTTCTTACTTTAACGAGATCTGTGTAACCCTAGAGAGAAAAAAAAAACTACTTTTTGCATGAAAAAGTTTCGATTAGGTTCATGCTGATTCTGGTTAGTTTAAATTGAACCAAGAGAGCTTGAATAGGTTTATGTTCATTTTGATTCAATTGATTGTCAGTTAATTTTGAATTCAAGATCCACAACTTCTCAAATTCGTTCTTGAGACTCACGTTGTCCAATTTGGGTGAAAATTGATATAGAAAAGCTTTTGGTGCATATTTAGTAAGATCCGTGATCATTGATCTCTTGATTTTCAAATCTTCTCATGATTTTGAGTAACAAGGTTGCTTTAACTGATGCTATTGTTTTGTTTCATGACTAGATCAGATCACTCGTTGATGGAATCCGTGGCAGTATTGATTAGCAGAGTCAAGAAAAGTTCCTTAATAAATCTCAGGGAAGAAAGAAGAGATTTCTAAGAATCACAAATCAAGCTTGCTCTGATTAGTTTTTTTCCTCCATGGCCTCCAAAACTCCAGATGGATCACTTACCAATTCGAGTCAAAGTATGTCAATCAACACTTTAGCAGATCAAGTATCTTCGAGTCTGTCTTTCGCCGATCCAAGTAGTGACAGCAAAACCGGTAATCATAAGATAAGCGAGCAAGGTGAGAGCGGAAAGAGTAGCACGTGTAGACCGAGCACAAGCAGTGATATAAGCGATGAGAGCACTTGCAGTAGCTTTAGTAGCAGCATCAACAAACCTCACAAGGCCAACGATGTGAGATGGGAAGCGATTCAAGCTGTTAGAACGAAACATGGCGGTTTGGGTTTGAACCATTTTAGGCTCTTGAAGAGGTTAGGATGTGGGGATATCGGAACTGTTCATCTCGCTGAGTTGAATGGAACAAGGTGCTATTTTGCGATGAAGGTGATGGACAAAACCGCTTTGGCTAGCCGGAAAAAGCTTCTTCGGGCTCAAACCGAAAGAGAGATCCTGCAGTGTCTTGATCACCCGTTCCTCCCGACATTGTATAGTCATTTTGAAACCGAGAAGTTCTCTTGTTTGGTTATGGAGTTTTGTCCTGGAGGTGATTTGCATACACTGAGACAGAGGCAGCCCGGGAAACGCTTCACTGAGCAAGCAGCAAAGTAAGGAAAAAAGTTCCAAACTTTCTTTATCTAAGAAACCGTTCTTGTGTATTAAATATAACTTCTTTTACTATTTGTCAGGTTTTATGTTGCAGAGGTACTTCTTGCAATGGAATATCTACATATGCTAGGGATCATTTACCGTGATCTGAAACCCGAGAATGTTCTTGTGAGAGATGATGGGCACGTGATGCTTTCAGATTTCGATCTCTCCCTTAGATGTACTGTTAGCCTCTCGATAGTCAGATCAACCAATCTCGGATCCGAAGGATTGTCAAAGAATTCGGTTTCTTGCTCGCAGCAACCCGCTTGCATCCAGCAACCATCTTGCATCTCAATGGCTCCAACATCTTGCTTCGGTCCTCGGTTCTTCTCATCTAAATCCAAGAAAGACAAGAAACCGAAAACAGATAACGGTAACCACCAAGTAACTCCATTACCAGAACTTGTAGCAGAGCCTACAAGCGCCCGTTCGATGTCATTTGTTGGCACACACGAGTACTTAGCTCCAGAGATCATCAAAGGAGAAGGACATGGAAGTGCGGTTGATTGGTGGACTTTTGGGATCTTTCTTTATGAGTTATTGTTCGGTAAAACACCGTTTAAAGGGTCAGGAAATCGAGCAACGCTCTTCAATGTCGTTGGTCAGCCTTTGAGATTCCCGGAATCTCCGGTTGTTAGCTTTGCAGCTAGGGATTTGATAAGGAGTTTGCTTGTGAAAGAGCCACAACATAGATTAGCTTATAAGCGTGGAGCAACAGAGATAAAGCAACATCCTTTCTTTGAAGGAGTCAACTGGGCTTTGGTTCGGTGTGCCAGTCCACCCGAGATTCCTAAACCGGTTGATCTTGAACCTGTGAATTATACTCCTACTGTACCGGCTGCTGCATCTACAAGCGTGAGATCTGATCAGAGCAATTATCTTGAGTTTGATTTCTTCTGAAGTCTTTTTGCAAGAAACTGTTTCCCCCATTTGATGATGATTCTCTTATTGTTTCTTTGCAAATTCTGCAGAATCTGTTTAGTGTTTTCGAAAAATGTGTTTTTTTTTTCTTCTTCTTTTCACGTCTTGAACAAGTTCTGAGATTTGTATCATTCTTCAAAAGTCTAAGACAGTCTCTGTACCATCTTCTTGAGTTAAATTTTATTAGACACAAACCATTGAGAATGGCAAATCCAAAGATCAGAAAGTTCTTTGCTTTTCATTGTATCTTAGCTCAAAACCAGAGATGTTCAGTCTGGTTTAACTGAATTAAACCAAAACCCTTTTAGACAATCGACTAAAACCGCTATTTCTTACAAAAATAAATAATGTTGCTTACATATATTATGAACAAAATAGTTCTTACATATAACCCCCTCTTCTAACTCTATACAGACGGAAGAGGAAAAATCTAAAGGGCTAAGATAATAATCACCATTCGAAACAAAGAAGATATATATCAAATTGTTTCATTTCAGTTGTTTATAGCAGTTATAAGCAATAGCTACAGATGCAGCAGCACAAGCAACAGCTAAAGCAGCATATGTATCTTCTTTCTCCCAATTCTCCAACCACATTGACATCGCAGCACAAACCTTGAGTCTACAAGAAGATCCGTTCTCCTTCTCGCTGCTAATTACCCGAAAAGATGCGTTTTTTACCGAGATTTCTCTTTCCGAGCTAATATTCTCTGTGTGATTCTCCACACAGCAAGAGGAGTTCCCATTTTGTTGGCAATAATCACCATTTGGCTCTGGACCAGCTCGGGACTCGCAACAGAAACCGTTATTAGCTGATTCTTGAATCACTTCTCCGTTGCTGATCTTTTCGCCACTTAGTTCTTGGAACCTTTGTTCTTGAGCTTTCTTCTGATCTTCTTCTAACAGACCCATTTCACCTCTGTAAAAAAACCGATTAAGTCTTTATATACCGACAAAATTTGGAGACTAGTCAAAATCAAGAACTTTTTGATCTTACATACCTCCAAAGGCGGTCTACAATTTCGCCTTTGTAAATATGTTGCTCCAACAGTTGAGGTACATCTTCTAGAGTCACAAACCCATACCTAAAAGACAAGAATCACTTAAAAACTCGCATCAGACAGATAAAATTTATTCCCTTTACTTAATCTCCAATTCATCGTAAAATCAACTCTTAACGGTTACACAAGTCATTCTTCTTTATCAAAATATGGGATTTGTTTAACTTACCAGTGTCCTGTGACTCTCTGGTTGATGTTTGATCCATAGATGATAACATCTCCAGTGTATTTGTGACCACCTATGTGAGAACAAGGGCTGACCGAGACTTCACCTCGAAGACCACACAATTCAATTTCTTCTCTGAATCTACTAACCAGTGACGGTCCACAAACCCCACAACGCCGGTCTCGGGATCCATGACAACATACAAAGACATATGAACCAGTTAGAGACTCAGGATTTCCAGGCAACCACTCGACATCCTTCACAAGCACCTCTTCAACAAATGTGTCGACATCAAAATGAGTCAACCTTCTGCAATTATTTGCTTGAAAATGTGATAATGAGTCACCACTGATTAAGGAATTACCAAACACAAAATTCTACTATTTTACCTGTATCTGATCATATCGGGAAATATCAGAACATCACCATTCGATGTCTCTGTTCCATCATGGCCCTCACATATTGTGAGTAGAGTCTGCAATTCGATGGACCGAAAAACCATCAAGAAGAAAATACAAAAGATACATCATAGATGATGCAAGATCATAAGAAGCCACATTGCAAAATTACCATCAAAGACATTGTGTATTATGGAACCCATCTAAACACAAATCGACAAGTTCCAAAGTTGTAACACAGAGAATCCCAAATGTCCTCAAGAAGAAACGACTTCACAAGTCATTGAGATCTTAGAAACTCATAACTAAACAAAAATAAAGAAAGAAATTTCAGTGCCTTCACTCATATTGCAGCTCAGAATCGCACCAGAGACCAAAATCGTAAATAAGATGTTCATTAGCAACAAACCATTTGGTAATCATTTTACTTTAGGCTCCCCAAGTTAAAATCACAAGCGAGTGGATCAAATTAGAGAAATGATAATCAGACCTAAGTCCACTTGAAATCACAGTCCTGGGATTGACATCAAAAGAGACCTAAATCCTCTTGAATTCACAGATATTCTAGGATTAACATTCATAAAGGACAAAAGTGAAATCACCTCCTTCTTCATATTACACTTCCTCGCCGATACGACGGAAGAGAGAAGCCTCGGTAACCGATCGAACTCCGACGCCTCGATCCTGGCAGGCCAAACCGAGGGTTTTTTGTAGCACAGGAAGACATGTCTCTCGTAAAACTGTACGGTACCGGCGAGTTTCTCAGGTCCGAAATCGGCGTCGCTAATGCTCTCACTTTCGAAGCTTCCAGAGCGAGAGGTCGATTCGCCGAGAAAACTGTCGAGATGATTGGATACGGTGATGGGAGACGAAGAAGATGGTGGGTTTCTAGTAAAGGTTAAAGGGTCGTCTAAATATCTTCCGCTTCCCATGGAAATCGAGGGCAAGTTCGAATTTTTGGAGATCGAAACTGAATGTTTGGAGAAGAAGAAGAAGAGAAAGTAAGGTTTTTGTTAGTCAATTAAAAAGTGTATTAAATATATATCTAGCACCATATTTAGGCACGTTCATATGACGTATTGAATATTAGATTTTATATTTTCTTGAATTTTAACATAGTAGAACCATAAGTTTACGAAATCAGAATTTATCAAACTCGAAAGTATAGTGAGTTCGTAAGTTTGAAAAAAATTGTGAAGGAAAACGTGAGTTTTTATTTTGTTATTTCTGAAAGACAAAATGTAAACGTAATCGCAGAATGATTTCGTCTGAATAATAAACACAAAAATGTATTATTCTGTAACTAAAAAATTGAATGAAAAGAAGAGAAAATAATTGTTAAAAAAAAAAAAAAGAAGAGAAAATAATGGAAACATATTACATATGGAATTAATATTCCTTGGTAATGAACTAATGATTAATGAATATATATTGGGATGGCAAAAAAAAAAAGGTGGGCAAACGAAAGAGATTTGATTTCAGATTAACTCGTTTACCTAAGACAAGAGGGCATCATGTGACGACACCACCATATATGTTGTAGAATAGTTACTGGTTTTTAACTTTTTAATTATCAACAAAATATTTTGTTTTGATGTTAAAAGTTGAAACATTTGTATTGAGTAGTGACTGTTTAATTAATTAGAGTTTTACTTAGGGAAAATTGGCTTTTTCATATCCGAAGTGTGTTATTTTCATACCCAAATTATATGATCGTGCATAAATCTACATCAAGTTAATAAAAATTTAAATTACATACCTAAACTTTTGATATTGTGCTAAAGCATACATTCGAGTTAACAATATTATTAATCCGTTAACTTTTGCCTACGTGGAAAACATGTGTGAAAAGACTGTGTTTAAGAATTGTCAAATTGAATTTAAAAACTGCGCAAAATGACATCGTGGTGGTCTTCATAGTTAAACGATGTGGTTCTGAAAAAAAAATTTCATAAAAAGCACAGAAGAGACGTGCTCCCACTTCTTCTTCACACCATAGAACACGTAGATGTGTGTGTGTGTGAGAGAGACAGAATCAGATCGTTAAAAGAAAAATGGCTGAGTCTGATGATTCAGTAAACGAAACGAAGGAGAAGAAGCTATGGAAAGCTGTTTTCACCCGGAAGCATGATCGTAATCTATGGTGTTCTCCACGTCTCTTACTCTTTCTATTTCCTCTGGATTCGCCTCTTTTGTTCAAATTAATGGAAGAAACTTGGTGGGTTTTTTTTTCTTAGCTCATAAAAGCGTGTATCTTGTGAAATTGCAAAACAAAACTATTGTAATTCATAAAAGTGAATCCTTTTTTTCTCACTCTTGGTTATCTAGTTACAAGTGCAAGATGTTTTGTTTTTCTTTCCATATGGTTTCAGTCTATGCTGTTGTTCGATATGTGGTTGATTATTGCTTGTAATTTGCAAGAAAAGATTATGAGAGTGCCATATGGGTTGAACAAGGAGTACTTAAAGCACTCTTTGTTTCTCGTTTTCTGTAATCGGCTCACTACATCAGCTATTTCTGCTGGTGATTTACTGGTAACTATCAAACCTCTTGACTTGTATTCATATTCAGAAGAGAAGCCTGATTTTAAAGTTCCCTTTTTTCTTGTATTCGGTTGAGAGACGAAGGGATCGAAGATGCCAGAAGCCAATTTCTCCTTCGTACTCCCACAGAAAAGCACCAGATCGAACCTTCAAACATCCAAAAACACTTTTATTTCAAGATCAATCAATCGTCAAACATAATCACAATCATAATCAGAAGAAGTGAGACGGACCTGGTTCGAGTAGGGGTGAGCGTGTTTCTAGGGTGTCGAAGTCGAGAGGTTGAAGATGAAGTGGGAGCGAAACGACATCTCTTCTATGCTTTTTATTAATTTTTTATTTTCAAAACGACTTTGTATAACTAGGGAAACCACAACGCTGTGGTTTGTGCAATTTCTAAATTCCGTTTAAAGATTTTTAAACACAATCATTTCACACGTGTTGTCCACGTAGGCAAGAGTTAACGGAATAATAACACTGTTAACTCAAATGTATGATTTAGCACAAAATCGAAAGTTTAGGTAGATAATTTAAAATTTTCTTTACTTGATATAGATTTGTGCACGGTGATATAATTCGGGTATGAAAATAACATCTACACATACATCAGATATGAAAAAACCAATTTTCCTTTTACTTGACAACTTACAAGTTGATGGGATTTAGGAGAGGACAATAATGACGGTGCAATAAAGGACAAAGGATTTTGAATGCAATTGACGTGGGAAAGAAAGGTTTGCCGACTAATATAAGAGAGTAAATTAGAAGTTTTTTTTTGTCATTTTCAGGTAAAAGAGAGTTAAGAGGTAGAGTGTTTCTACGGTTTGTATAACCAAGATCTTCTTCTAGTCAATATCTGATGCAATCTTGGTTAGACTTGACATTTTTTGGTTTGGAACAAAAACTCGTTACTATTTGTTTGTGTAACCAGATATTCGAAATATACAGTTTAAATCTACGATTAAATTAAACAAGTTCAACCAAATATTTGAAAAACTCAAAGATGCAATAATGAAAGGTACATTAGTGG